AAGTGAGAAAGATGGCGAATAGTTGGAAGACTAGAGATGAGCCAATTGCAGACTACAAGGGGTTGCTGTAGAAACCTGAGAGTTAAAGGGCCACAAAACTTTTGTAACCCGGTCAAATCCCAATTTTGTATACTAAATTTTGATTATAAAACAATATTTTGTAAGTTGTTCACTAGTAATCAAAGAAATGTCTATGAAATGTATTTATTATTACTATTGTATAGAGAAGTCATTGAATATTAGTAGTATCAAAAGCTAAACTTCACAAAACAACTAACACTCTTCTCATTTTAAAATCCAAGTTTGAATGTTAAAGCATTTATCTTTCTCTATTTAGCTGAGCTCTTAAAGTAAGATGATTGAGTTTAAGTGATGCAAGATAGAATATAAATTTTGAATGTAATAGAGAATATGAAAACAATGTTTAAAATTATGATACTCAGAAAAAAAAAAACAATATTTTTATAATTGTATAAATAAAGGAATGAATAATTAATAAAAATGAAATTCTAAAATAAATAAAACTGCTCCCTTAAAAAGTTGAGAGTGTTACATCAAGTTTCACTGTATTTTGAACAATAAATACAATGGAGCACAACTGCCAACATTTCAAAATTAAGATTATAAAACAATTTTAAAGCATTGTTGAAAAAAAATATTATAAATCATCAACTTCATTCAAATTCACTAGATGGGTTCCAAATTTTGGAACTAAAGAAAAAAAAAATCGACACAGTGCAGCTACCAACATTTCAATAGGAAAATTATCAACACAATTTCAAATGTTCATGTATGTAAAAAAGGATTGGAAGGTTTTTAAAGGATTGATCAATCAAAAATCAACTTCATTTGAATACATTCAATGTCAGCTTTTGAGAAATAATTTAAAAAGCGCACATTGTACCATTTTAAAATGAAAATTAATCAAAACAATTTTAAAAGATTAATTGATAGAAAATGATTTTAAAAGCTCTTTCTATTGAACATTTAAGTTTTTGAAACAATCTCAAATTCATTTTCATCTTTTCACATTTTAAACACAAAATATTTCTAATTGAAATAAAATCCTTCAAAAGTAAGGACAGTGTTCTTTCTAAGTGTTTTTTGAAGGGCGGTCCGTTCTGCTTGTCCTTTGATCCCAATAAATGCGTTCTCTTTGTCCTTTTTTTAAAATAAGTCATGATCCCTTAAAAATACTGCCCTTTTATTTAGATTCAATTTTGAAAAAAAATTGATTCAGTGTTTAAATGATAATTACACATTGGTAAAATTTTCCGTGCTTATACGTTTAATTCTGATTAATATTACAAATATTTACTTTATTAGGATAGGTAAAATTTTATCAATAGGTAAAATTTTTATAAGTTTCTTTTTTCGAAGGGGGGATATTAATAAATTTTTCAAATTATTTTTAATTTTTTTTAAAGCACTTTTAATTGTTTATTTTCTCACAATTTTCAGTTAAATTATAGAAAAAAGATTTCAAGCTGTTTATCAATTGATAATTTTTTGTCAGTTAGCTTTTCTAATATGCACAGAGATTTCCTTTTAGTGTACCTTGAATTATTTTTATTACCTACAACTTTTTCTCATATTTTAAAAATGTGAGAGAATTACTTTTCCAAATATACTGATAAAAATAATATGAGAGGGTAATTTAAAAATTGTTGAGTACAAAATTCAGTTATTACATAATATTACACATTTTGATAAATATTTTACGATGTTGAGTGAGGGCCCTATTTAGAGAGAAAGCGCCCTGCCCTTTTTTGCTCCTAGGGAAAACTCTGGTAAGGATATATAAAAAGAATTTCCATTCCAGAGCATTAAATACAGGTTTATAAATGGTTAATTAGTGTGGCGTAAGCTACAATTCTTTACATGGGAGATTAATTAAACAGAAAAATTAATTAATTCAATTTTCCCATCGATAAAGGAAAAAGGTAAAAAGAATAGACAATTTTTAACTGCCTAAATGGAACTAACTCATGCAAAACAGTCAGTACAAAAACAAGATAAAATAGGCTAAAGCAACTTTGCATGCAGAGTTTTAGAATATTATACTAAAAGGCCATACAGATTTTTTTTAAAAATATTACAGCAGTCAACATTTGCAATACAGTATCTGTTGTTTAATGAGATTGCATCATTACCTGAGGATTTTGATTCTTATAAACAGCTAAGTTTTACAAACAGAATATGAGACAGGGATACTATTTTCTCAGTTTTACAGGGTATTGTCAGCATAAAAACACACTGATATTTCCAAAGCTCAGAAAATATTTTTCCTTGAGGTAGCAAACGTAATGTATTGACTTGTTGATGAATAAGAATTAAGAGAATTTTCCATGCCACCACATAAATATAATTATATCTGGTAAATTTGCAGAAAATAAGCGTTTGATTCTTCTAACTAGCTAGCTTACAAACCAGCAAGCAATGTGGTTATTAAATGTGGAAAATTGAAAAAAATCTAATGGCATTGAGTATGTTACAGAAATAAAAAGTTCATTTTTAACACATACATATGATTTTGTTCTTAGAAATTAGATGACAGCAATCTGTTTATTACACTAGTCATTAACCACACCGTTTACAAAATGGAAGGAGCTGTATTGAATTAATATAGAGAATCATATAAATAACTCAGCTGACAATATACACTGTAGGTTCAAAGATCACTCAAGGGCAGATTGAGCAACAAAACATCTGAAAATATTGTACTAACTAGTTTGCCAGGCAACCATATTAAACACAATATTTGTCTTAGGTTCAAAGCAGTATTTCCTTTCACTTACAGTAAACGTTATGAAAACACTTTAAAAGAATTGTAACTGACAGATATGCTTATTGTTAGACAAAGTAAGGAAGTCTGTACTGTATTTGTTAGGAGTAAATTTAGTTGTTTATTTCCCATTTACACAAAGCCTGAGATAATGGAATGAAAACTAGTTTTTCAACCTCAAGTCAAGAAAAAGCTGCTAAGTGAGCTTTGTCAAGTAAAAAAAACTCTTGATTAAGATGCATGCTGATTGGCTGATTCAATTGCATGTGATTCAGGGTTCCCACTCAATTTCAGAACAAAAATTCCCTGACTTTTCCAGATATGCCAGGTAAATTTCAATTACATTTTCATTACAAAACTTCGATTCTTTTATTTGTAATGTGAAATATTAAATTTTATGTGTAAAAAAATATCATTAAATGAAGATGGGAACATTTCAGTTTGACTAAAAGTTGAAATGTTTATAACAAATAATTGTAATATATGTTGGAATTATCTAACTCGAATCTCAATAACTGATTACTGTTAAAGACAATTTTAAGACTGATTATTTTCCAGGTATAACATAGGAATATTCCAGGTTTTTGTAAAAAAAATTGCAGCTTCCCCTGACTATTCCCTGATTTTTAGAGTTAAAATAAAATTACCTGACAATTCAAGGATTCCCTGACCCGTGGGAACCCTGGTGATCACTCCTGGTTTGCTCGAGAAAAACAGGATTCAGGAAGCACGAAAATCTGATGAAACCTTTTCAGGTTAATGATGTCAGAAGACTGCTTTCACCTGTTCTGAGGACTTATATTAGACAAAATCCAAAATTTAAAAGACATGACTCAAAATGCCAACTGCTCCTGATTCGACAAAATATTTTAAAAAACGGTAGAACTACAAACTGAAATTTGCAGTTTTTGAATTAATTTTGCCATCATTGTAAAAGACTCAACACAGCTTATCTGTAACAAAGTGGTGCAATACCAGGGGTCTGTTTCGAAGAAGTTTGGGTCCGTTAACGGACCCTTCACAAAATATCTTTTCATAAAATATCTTTTCATATCTTTTCATATCTCATCATATCTTTCACAAAATATCTTTTCATTTGTTAATCGAATAAACCCTTCCCAGGGCAGAAAACAAGAAAGATGGATGTAAACAAATTAAGTTTTTTCTTCGGCAGACGATTCTTCCATCATTCGTCAGAAATTAATATTCTGCGTTCAGCAGTATAGGTTAAATACCAAATATTTGTATGTTGTATCTCTAATTTAGAAGCAGCAATTGTTGTTTATTTTTTAAAATTTAATTTTTTTAATTATAATTTTACAGTGTTGAGCATAATCTTGTATGTCTTAACAATTAAAAAACTCCTTGAAAAAGTTTTTTTTGCAATAACGGACCCTATTTGCACAAATTCATAAAAGTGGACCCTGGTTGAAAGAATGTGAGTAATTTTTTCACAATTTCACGAAAAACGCACCTTTCACAAAATGTCTGGACAGACCCCTGAATACACAAACCTTAGAATTATTAAGAAGTATGGCAAGTAAAACCCTATAAATCCACTTCACTAAACCAAGAATCATACATTAAATGACCACCACTCGAAAATATTCATGCACAGTCTGGAGCAAGTTGGCACCTCTGCATCAAGATTTGCTGCATTTTATACATGTTTTATATGTCATGTTAATTTCATGTTAATTTTATATTGTTACCTAAAAATTTTATTAGCAGGGCTAGGATGTTGATAACCTAAAAATTCTTTTAAAAAAATTAAAAAATAGTTTTAGAATGATAAATTATGAATTAAAATTAGAAATGATATAGTTCAACATCAACATTTGTTATTGGAGGACATTTAAAATGACAAGAATGCTATGACAATAATGCAAAATGTACACTAATTTAGATTTTAAAAAAAAACTAACTCAGTAAAGTGCTCTTGAAATGAAATATATCATTAAAATTAAAATTTTATTTAAAAAATCTTAAATATAAATTATTGACCAAAACTTTAAAAAAGGAAAAGAAAAAAAAGCAGCTAAAATTATAAAAATTCAGTGATACTAATTAATAGGATGCATTTATCATCAACTCCTATTAATTAGTATCACTGAATTACATCATCATCACAACAAAAAGAAATTACATAACTACTAATATATTCACTTAATTATGAATGAAAATGGATGAAATTATAGCGGGGAAAAAATGCATGACATTCCTCAAACATCTTTACAGCATTCATTATATAACACTGAAAATATTTCAGCACTCATTATTGTAGCATTTTAGCATTGGCACTCCTTGGCATTCTGCTGTCCAACTAATTAAATGGTACCCAATGGTTTTTACTTAAAATTTGGCTCACTATAAATTCACATGACCACACACATTTTCACAAAAAAAAGTGCACCACTCAAAAACTCATTCAAATAAATAAAATAAAAATTATTATTACACTTCAAACTACTTTCCTGAATGGCTTGATTAGATATAATTTTTCACCATCTGGACCAGTATAAATGGGTGCTCTCTTATAATGTTCTACGAGTTCATCTAAAGAATTAAATCTCCGCTGACCAATGCAAAACACGCCATCCTCCATGTGAACACGGAAGTGCTTGTTTTTAGAAGACGCCTTCAAAGACACAGAAAAATCCCCGGCCTAAAATTAAGGTTAAAAAACACATTAGAATTTGAGACACAGTATAAAAACATACATGAAATAAAAAAATTTAAATTTTGGAAACAAATATCAGGGGTGAAGTGATTGTAATAAAATGTGAAGAAATCGGAAAATTTTATGTGCAAGAAATCAGCGTTGGGGTTTTGGACATCCTAAACTGGTTTTGGACATGACATGTCGGTTTTACTGTCCGAAACTGACTAAAACTGTCCAAAATCTTGAACTTTGGTAAAAGGTAAAAATTCTACATGCGTAACCATTGCCCATATAATTATTTCATATGTTAATAAATAATTGATACTGATAAATATAACATTTTTAATAATTTTTTAGAGGCTTTTACTACCTTGAAACTAAAGATACTTCACCTCACACTGATGTATTATTATTATTAGAAATAACCTGAAAATAAAATTTTTATTTATTCGTATTGAACAAAATAGTCTTATTTCATTACTTTTATAACAGTCGACCTAATTTTAGGGTTTATGGCTACTAATGTTCAATTTCATAGCCTTTTAATATAGAACCCAATCCAGAAGACGAGGGAACTTCATGGAGAACTTTTTGATGGAACTAATCTGCATGGAGAGGAAAACCTTCCATGGTTAGCCTGGCGGCAAGGTGACTCTAACCAATGATAAGTCAACAGCTGAGGATATTTCACGTCAGCATTGCAGTCAGTGCGAGCCTGGTGTGGAATTCGAATCAACCAGCTATGTCTGGGATCGAACCCGGGTCAGCTCATTGGGACATGAGGACTTTACCCCCTGAGCCACCACGGCTCTAACAAAATACTTAAAATATTTAGAAGTCGTGACACATAGTGCACGAACATTTTTAACTAGTTATTTCAATTTATCACCAGCCCGAGCAAGGGCCCGGTGCAAGTTGTAACAATATCTTATATAAAAAAATTTCTGGATTTTCAATACCACTAGGATAAGTGTAATAACTGCTACAAGACGATTGAAAACTAACTTAGATTGACAAAATTGGCACAATAAAGCATGTCAAAGAGATTATTAATAATAAAAATGCAAAATTTGACGCTTGAAGTTTGTTAATTATACAAATTTAAAAAATCAGAATTTTCAAAAACAAGCGGAAATACAAAACAGTAACTTCTGAAAAAAGTAGCTTTTATTTACAGCAAAAATAAAGTACATCAATAGTGATTATTAAACTGCATGATTTGAAACTCGCAAGACATAGTAATACGGTATTATAAATATCTAGTTTATAAAAACTATGAGAAAATCAAACAATAACGGCTGAAAACCTGAGCAAAAAATCACTTGGATGAATGACAAAATGGGAATGGGCATACAAAAAACTAGATTTCAAAATCTTCATCTCAGAATAGAATCATATTAAAAATATGAAGATTTTTACAATTATGTGGAAATACATCTAATTAAATTTTTTTCTTTTCAAAAAAAAGAAAAAATTATAATTTTTGTCATTATGTTCAGGTGCTGCTAAGGGTCGCACTTCAACAGTTGCTTAGCCGCAGGTTGTGCACCCCTACCGTAATAAATCTGTTCAACCTATAATATTAGGCCAAAGATATATGTTGATGTGTGGCTATGTCAGGTAACATATTTAATAATTACAAATACATAATTAACACCCCCATAGCAGAATTTTTTTTGGCTTCATGCGACAAACTTCTCTAGCACTAATATTTTACCTTAAGATACTTTTAATTATAACAATTACTAATTTAAAGTAACAGAAATGTGTTTACGGAAGAAATTATAGAAAAATTATAAATTGTAAAAATTAATAATTGATTAAAAATTAATAATTGTAAATTAAAACTAAGAATTGTAAAAATAATATTTTTTGAATTACAATAAAATAGGCGATATTCTCGAATTTTGCAGGCGGAAAAAATGCACTAATTATTTCCTCATCACGCGAACAGGACTCTTTGAAAAAGAGATACTCAAATAAGTGTATGTAAAATATGGTGTTATTTAAAGAAAAAAAATGATGAAAGAAAGATTATCATTTCTAGAGTATCTTTTAAACTTTCGTGATTTCAGATTTTTTAAAAAATTAATTTGAAATTCTAGCTGAAGTCAGTTATGACAGTTTTTTTTAAAAATCTCAAATGAGAAAAGAAAAATCATGATTATTTCTTTCCTCTCTGATGCACTAGAAAGACATCTTTGAAAAAAATTCTACATAAAAAAAAAACATTTTTCGAAAAGTTATGCAGAAAGGAAAACCAAAATTTTTCCCTTTTCAAAAGAAAAATCTTTCTGCAAAAACTCTGTAACACTCTGTGATAATCAGGGTTGGGGTTTTGGACAGGACACATGAGTTTTACTGTTTTAAAGTGTCCTAAACTGACTAAAACTGTCAAAAACCTTGAACATTGGTAAAGGGTAAAAATTTTATATTTATAACACATAATAATTACATAAATTAATAAATATTTGATACTTTTCATATAATTTCTTTTAAAAAGAAAATAATATAATAAAAAAAGACTTACTTTTGAAGCTCTACAATTCTATGAACAACAAGCGAATACCTTAATCTTTAAATATGAATAAGCTTTTAATACTGATAAATTATGTTTCTGCATAAGGATAAACAATGCAATATTAAAAATAATAATAAACTTTTTTAATAAAACAAAAACTTGTCTTCATTTTGTTAATTGATCAAAAATTAACAACTTATTTATCTCAATATTAGTTTCAAATTGCGACATAAAATCAAGAAAAGGGTTTTGGACAGGACAGTTTAAGCCGTGGATTAATCCATTCTGTCCGAAAACTTGCCCACTCCGGCGACAATGTCACCGAAATTCTGCCATGAGGATTAACATATAAATATATAGATGGAAATAAAAGAAAATTTATTCGATAAATAATTTTTCTCTAACTTACATTAGTCTCACTCTCTCTTATTACGAAATCACCATCTTCGGCCAATTCATTCAGCATCCTATCACAGTCATTACGCGTAATGCTTCCGATGTACCAAGGCCTATCGCAACTGTTTTTATTTCGTTGCTTCACCATCGGACAACCCCCGCTGGCCTTCGATGGAGTTTTACAAAGTTCATGTTGGGCACCATTAACTGAAACACCCACAATGGGGTTATCATCCATCTTCTGAGGAGTGGATTCCGAATCACTAGAATCTGTAGCACTGCGTCCCGGAGACACTATCTGCAAATAATTTTTAGGCACCAATCCGATCTGTCCAATACCGTTGCGGGCCCTCCACCAGTCAGGGTCGTTCAGAGGGCGCTCGACGACCTCGAGCTGCTCACCTTTCTGGAAACTCAGCTCCTCGTCACTCTGCGATACGAAGGGGTACAAAGCGACAACAATATCATTTCCTTGAAGAACGTTTTGATATGTTGCAGTACTGATCGGCTCTTCGTCGGGAGGTAAGTTGCAGGAAATGTCAGGCACATCTTTAGGCTCCTCCAGCACATAGTTGGAAGGAAACCATCCAACCTGCAAGTTGCAACTCTCTCCCTTCCACCAACCATCGCTAGATTTCTCCATCACCACAACCCTACTTCCTTTCACCAAAGAAATCTCATCTGCTTGCTGAGCTTCATAGTTATATTTAACAATCGCAGTCGTATTTAAGCAAATCCTATTTGCTTGAGCAGTGACACGGGGTGAAATGTCATTTATGTCAGTCTCCTTTGATGACATTTTTGTGGAAGGGGAGGAAATTTTGGGCTCACTTTTTCTTCTTACTCTCTTACGAATACTATCAAATATAGAAGGTTTCTCCCTTTTTACATAGTTTGATGGAACAAATCCTGCTTGATTTCTAGAATTTTGAACTTTCCACCAATGTTTACTGTCGTCTAAAAGGACAAGACGTTCATGTTTCTTGATATCTAGCTCCTGGCCGCCCTGTGCTTCGTAGTCATATTTTGCAACTACGTAAACTTCTTCCATTGTTTTACCTTAAAAAAAAAGATTATTTAGAGATAAAAAAAATTGCAACATATTTATAAATTTTCAGTTTAAATCAATAGTGATTTTAAACTAAGTTAAATGAGGTAGTATTTATCACCGAAATCAATTATTTATTAAAAAACTGCTTCGTTTATAAATTCAATATCTGAGCTCTGTAATATATATTAAAATCATAATTATTTGTGATCACTAGGCACAATTCACAAATGATGTCATGCTCGTAGGAGACTTTGGGGGATCACGAAATTGTCACAGTCAGACTTGGAAAGAAAAACTTTCTTTGCACTCAAAATCTCAATAAAAAAACTTTATGCACATATTGATCTCATTTTGGTGCAATTTGTTTGAAAAATACAGATTTTTCTCAAAATATTTAATTCCTATAGAGATCCTTATTGATAGTTTGGCAAAAAATCAAAGTAGCTGAGGCAAGGTTTGCGAGGCAAAGGTCAATTTATCGATAAATCCACATGGTTTTCTAACCTTTTTTTCGGCAGTGATTAATCGTTTTTAGACCCTTTCCCTACAGTTTTTGAAATTCAAACATCTTTAAAATGTTATTACTACGAACACACGTTGTACTTGAACTAACACTTCTTTGAAGCATTCAATTCAGGTGGATTCCATCATTATTTCACGTTGTTTGATGATAATTTTTCTGGAAGCTATTTATTGTTCAAAATTTGAGCTAGATTTCTTATTATTTAATGTGTTAGATTTGTGAGGGATTTATCACTTTTTCACGCTGTTTTATGATAGGTTTTTCGATAGTTATTTATAGTTTTATCTGACCCTTTCACATGATTTTTCCAAACTAGATGTTAATCAATGATATTATGACGTTTGATTCCCTTGTAATTTCCCATCGTCAGATGATATTGGGTCATTTGGAAAGTTCGTGTCGATTCTATTATTAGCATGAGCTTTACAATCAAATTTTGAGTCACTGTTTTCATTTCTTAAGGCATTTAATTTGCAACGATTCCGTCAGAATTGACGTCCTCTGGTGATAGTTTTTTTAATGTTAATTATCATATTTTCGGCCTTATACTCATGGTTTTTCAAACTCCGTTTATATTTAATATGTTATTACAACACAGGATCACTGTTATAGATGCAACAGTTATAAATTTTTCAGGCATATGATTCGCCATGAATCCATCGTAAATCCACATCGTTTTAAGCCATTTTCACATGTTTTTTTCTATTTTGATAATTTTCATTAGATGTTATTACAACAAGCGAGTTTTTTGTGTGACTCCCTAAGAGTCCCTTTATGAGATGTTCAATTTTAATCAATTTTATCGTAACTCCACGTTTATGGATCATTTGTTGTTTCTTGACTATTTTCTCATGGTTTATTTCAATTTGATGGACTTAATAGGATGTTATGGATAGTGAATTTTCTTATTTTAGAGATCACTTTTTTACGCACTTCGACATGCAACATTTTTATAAATTTGAGAATTGGGCTCATTTTTAAAGCTAATTTACAGAATATGCAAATTTAACTGAGGAATTATTTTCAATTCAAACAAATTATCTTAAACAATTTTTTAAGGATAAAATTAAATACTTTGTATATTTTAGGTGTCTTAAAAGCTTTGCAAATATTAGTGAACAATGCCCTTTTTTGTGATAGGTGCCTTTATTTAGGGGAAATAGTGTCCTTTTCACTTGCCAGCTTTTTCAAGGTCTAGAATGAACACTGATCTAAAGAATAACTGCCAACTCTTCTATATTTGTAAAAGATTTTAAAATATTTCAAATTAAAGTCACCAGCAATGAGGCTTTTACCTGAACTCCAATTGCAATATTTATCCTTTGAAAAATTTAATAACAGGATTATAATAATCTTAATAATAAGAAGAAGAAAAGATAAATACAATACTTAAATACATTCTGAGAATGAATTTAAACGTTTAGTTAAAAAAGTCACTAGCACTTAAGCTATTATCTAAATTCAAATTACAAACATTATTACGTCTGAAAAAATGAATCAAATGAAGAAGAATTTCCATAAAAACTAAAAAAAGAAACTTTTATCAGAGAAAAAAATAAAACAAATAGAAAACGCTAATTTATGAGAACGAAACCATTAAAAGCATATTTTTAAAAAAAAGATACTGAATAAAGAGAAATCTTAAATATCGCAAAACTTATTGATGTGACAAATTTTTATATCCGAATTTAAATTAAAAGCAAGTAAATTAACATCTCACTTTATAACAAACCAGCAATTAGTTTCTTTACTGCTATAATATAATAAATCAGTCAAAATAAAAATAAGCATATTTCTTGAAATCGCTCTTAGTTTATTAACAATTTTATTATATTTTGACTATTAATATCATAAATGAAGCTTACCACTTTTATTGTTTGACATTTCTAAAACAAATATTAAGGAAGTAATACAGCAGCTACCACGTTAAATACAAAGATATTAGAATTGAATAAGTCAGTATGATCACAAAACTGAAGCAATCATCTTAAATTTTAAAAATTATTTAGCCTCATTCATACATTAAAATAATATTTTCCTGTCTCTGATGTCTCCTCTATGAATCACAAATATTGGTTAGGTAACGGTTAATAATTTCAGAGCTTTATACCTACGTTTAAACGATAAGCTTCTAGCTTTCATCTAAATAAATTGACAGTTAAAGTGGAGTAAAACCTTAACAACCGTAATATTTGTAAACAAAAACAAAAATCCATCTCCTGAGTGTTTTCGAAGTATGGGCTTGAAAAATGATTCCTGTTTTTCATTGTTATGAGTTTTTATTTTTACGAAAATTGGATAACGATCCTGAATTCTGGCTCAAAGTGAAAACCAATGTTTTAAAAGACAATGATTTTTCGTTAAAGGTATCAGAGAATCCTGATTTGTGATCTATCAATAGTATTATGTGTTCCATTTAATAAGAATCATAATTTGTTTTTATATATATATCTATACAACTAAAGGTTGTCTAAAGCTCGATAAGTCGATAATTCTTGTTACTGTGTAATCTAGTATAATTGAGTAAAAATCAGTTTAAGAAAGATCTGCATGTATAAATATGGGAGAGATCTCGGACAAAATAATCACCAAGTCGGGCAGCGGTCCGTGAGAAACTAAAAAGAAAGAAAAAATACAGAAGGGACCATCTGGAAAGGTATATCTCCTAGCCACCCCCCGGGACAAACATCTACATGTTTTTGTTTTTTTCTTAAATTTTCAAGTTTGAATTTTATTTGGCGATTGTAGTTGGCGCGACAGATCGCGATTAAATATGAGGCTTAATTTTTGCAAACTTAATAAAAAATCTAATGCATTTAGCAAAAGAACTGATTAAAATTATTTAAGATAATGTTAAATCTTTTTTGCATTACTTTAAAGATCAAATAAGCATCTAAAGTGGTAAGCCACACTTTTTCCAAAATTCTAATTTTTTACATCAAACTGTTCCTTTTATTTTTTTTCTTATTGATATCTTATTTGTTTTGTCTTTCATGTTAACAAAAATTAAAATAAAATTATATCACAAGCATATCTTGTTGGATATATGAAAATCACAGTGATTTTTCTGAAAATTGCTCTCCTGGATAATTAAGAAATAAAGCTTTATTATTTCTCCTCAAATCCATTCATTTGTGAAAGCTGTAAAATATTTTAAATTCTGGTGTTTTATGCAACGAAAAAAAGAAATTGAAACCTTGCGTATTGGCACATGCATAAAGTAAATTGGATCACAGCTTTGGCTATTGTAATTGGCTGAGGGCAGGTGCTGCTATGGAAATATCTCCAGTAAAAACATTGTTTGCACATTTAGCATATAACAGAATCTACCAATTCTAGCATATCATATTAAAACTTTCTTTTAAAAATTAAAATTAGTCACTGTTTTGGGAGACTTACTGAATGGAACCTGAGACAAAATGGATGCCAAGTCTTAGCTCTTGCAGAGCTGTGACATATGAGAAGCTAAAAATTAAAAAATAAGAAGAAGCACTACCACCTGGGGACATTAATTATATCAGTATCTATTTATGCCAACTAAAAGAGCCAATGTGTCAGAATATTTATTTTCTCTAAGTTGTAAAAGTTAAAAAAAAAAAAATATGTAGAGGTATTCCTGAGATGGTTGTGTGTTAAACCTTTCAAGTTGGTTCCCTTCTGAAAGGTTTTTTAATTTTTCACAGGCTAGTGAAAAATTAACAGGTTCAGAAGTCACCAAAACTTGATGATTATTTTGGCATAAGCTCTGATCTGAAATTCTTTCTATCTCAAAAGGAAAAGAAAAATAATAATAAGCAAATAAATGAAAAATTAAATAAATAAAAGAGAAAACTGGTTACCATCCTTGAGGAAGCCACTATGTATTTTTATAATTTTTTTAAACTACCAAAATCAGGCTGTGATACTTTCAATTCACAATTTCATTTCATAGAAACTAGATTTTGATAGGGAAATAGCACCCAATATTTTTGTCTAAATTACTAATATTTAATCATGAAGTAGCATTTTTAAAAAAAATATTATTGGTTGATAAATCTCTCCTACATAAAACTTAACACTATTGTTTACTCACCCTTTTTTAAAAATTAATTTTTGATGTCATGAATGTTTCTTTTTTTTTTCTTGCTGACCCACACTTGTTATTTATATATAAAAAAAAATTCAATCTTCAAATGTGGCTCTTTAATAATATTAGTTTTCATTTGTACGGATTCTAATCCACAATATATTTGTAATTTTTATATTGATTTATCATATTACTGTATTTCTATAGTCTGTACCCAATACTCTGTGGTTTGTTGCTGTTACAATATCTGAGACCAAAGATAGATTTCCTTCATTTATCAAGAAGACTGTATTAACAAATCCTTTTTATGCACCTTCCCCTGCAGGTATAAAATGATTTCCTACATTAGAAAGTTATTAATATTCTTTTTTTACTGACCAGAAGATAATTAAATTTAATTTCTTTTAGATTGTATTTTGACCAGATATCTCCAGTATCATGACTTTGTGGAAATGCACCTTGACAGTATCTTTAAACATGGTGAAAACTGCACTCTTCCAAAAGAAGTACTATTTCGACTATATTATTATCATTGTATTACTTTATTTCGGCAGTACAGTGTTTAATGTTGTCATATTTTTTAAAAGCTTGTTTAATAACGATATTAATGATGATGTAACACATTTTACTGATATCACACAAGTGAACTTTTTTAGTGAATCTTCAAGGGGGGGGGGAGATTTAATATATATATTTTTATTGATATATTTAAAAGGCCGTAATATATATTTTTTGGTTTTTCTTTTTGCAATGAAAATAAAAATTATTCTAAGGTACATAATTTATTATTTACCATAAAATACTCTTGTGTTTTATATATATATATACAGTGGAGCATCGTTTATACGACGCCGCAGGGACCACCGAAAAACGTCGCATCAGCGATAACGTCGTATAAGCGATTTTTACTTCTAAAACTGAAACTAACTCTGTTTTCTGTTAATTTTAATGTTTAACGTGTTGATTTACATAAATTTCTAAATTAGGCAAAGTAAAACAAACAAATAACCAAAGAAGAAAAATTGCAGTGAGCAATTTGAATATATGTTACCTTAAATTATATTTTCTTGCTATTAGTCTCTACAATGCTTTGAATAGCGAGTTGAACTTACTGCTTTCTATGATGCAATTTTAGATTTCTAATCATAGCCAAATCTAATGGCTGAAGCGCACTTGTGCAATTTGCAGGAAAAAAGAGAGCTTTTACATTTTCCAAAATAATTAGTATCGATGGGTGCGCTGGACATTGGTCGATGAATAGAAATTTTTTTCTTTTTTGCCTCTTCATAACATTGTCTAGTTTTTTCAGTCATCTAGTAAAAATTACGGTTGTCATCCAAGCATTCTTGTTGGCACCCTTTTCCGTATCATTCATGTTGGCAAATTCCACCCTTTTTTAAAATACACAAGAAAAAATAAAAATTAAATAAACAAACATGAACAAAATCTAAAAACCGACGTATAACCGATTCTGTGCGTCGTATAAACGATATATTTTTACATTAAAATAAATAGGAATGATTTGGGACCACACTAAAACGTCGTATAAATGTAAACGTCGTATAAGTGATCGTCGTATAAACGATGCTCCACTGTATATTAGAAACATTTAAATTTTTGTGGTTTTTAAGTCTTTATTACTACATTTGTTTGGATATCATATTGTTTGTATCATTTGTTTGGATTGGTTCTTCACAAGATATTTTGCTTGGGCTGAATATTAACCTGTTAAAAATTTTAATTAAAAAATAATCATAATGAATTTATTTTATGTTATTGCAGTCATTGAACAGAATTTTAATTAAACAATTAACAGTTTAAAACTGTGAATGTTTTAAATTGTTAATTAAAATTATTTATTTAGAATATAGAAGATACTTTCATAACATTTTTTTTTTAAATTGTTTTATTACTTTAGAAAAATTTTATTCAGTCACTACTATCTTTAAAAATAGGACAAATCGTGTTTATAATTCTTCTTTTTTTTTACATTAATAATTAAATATATCATTTAAATTCACAGTTTTAATATGTTAATTTTCATTCAAAACATTTATNAATAATCATTAGTGTATTACCTCATCGTTTTTTCTTATTTTTAAGATTATTTCCAAATATTTATTTTTTTTAGTTGGGTTTAACACTAAAAAGCGGCTTTTTGTAGCGATTCAGAAAACCGGAAAAATCAGTTATCCGGAATAGCGATAGTCCTGATCGTTCCGGATAATCGGTTCTCTACTGTATATATATTAGAAACATTTACATTTTTGTGGTTTTTAAGTCTTTATTACTACATTTATTTGGATATCATATTGTTTGTATCATTTGTTTGGATTGGTTCTTCACAAGATATTTTGCTTTATTTTCTTTTTCTTTTATTTGGCTGAATATTAAGCTGTTAAAAATTTTAGTTAAAAAATAATGATAATGAATTTATTTTATGTTATTGCAGTCATTGAACAGAATTTTAATTAAACAATTAACAGTTTAAAACTGTGAATGTTTTAAATTGTTAATTAAAATTATTTATTTAGAATATAGAAGATACTTTCATAACATTTTTTTAAAAATTGTTTTATTACTTTAGAAAAATTTTATTCAGTCACTACTATCTTTAAAAATAGGACAAATCGTGTTTATAATTCTTCTTTTTTTTAACATTAATAATTAAATATATCATTTAAATTCACAGTTTTAATATGTTAATTTTCATGCAAAACATTTATAAAATTGAAAGTGTTGTAATTTCTTTGTTCTAGCTCTTCAGGTGCCCAAACTTGAGAATCCTCTCATTAAAGTATAATTTCTTAGAAGAGGTACCACCCGATATCGGAAAGTTCCAGAAGCTGGAATATTTGGCACTGACAAACAACAGACTCCAGAACTCATCCATCCCTTACACTCTGGCTTTCTGCAAAAAGCTAAAAGTTCTGTACTTAGATTATAATCTCTTGGATGCATTACCTGGATTTCTGCTGGTAATGCCCAGCTTAAAAACTGTACATCGACATGGCAACCACAACTATTTCAAGGCTACATTCATGTGGTACCACACGGATGTGAACGAGAGGATCCTAGCCATTCCGGGTAGTGGATCGAGCCAATCCAAACTGAGATCCCTGAAGTTGCTCTCTGCGTCGGCCATCATTGCAGCCAAGTTAAACTTCTTTGTTGATACATGTGTTCCTTCTTTGCTCAAAGATTACATTTGCAGTATTTATTATGATTTTAAAATATGTTATAAGTGTTTCACAGCCAATCCCAGATCCAAAGCAGGTAGGTATCTCTTAAAGGAATAAAAATATAATGAAGATAGATTTTTATTTAACCCTCCGCGTACGGCTCAGTATTTATACTTTCCAATTCTGAAATAGGAGGCCATTTTTTTGTTTTCTTTATCTGCATTAGCTACAATTCACATCTTCATCAGTTGTTTTAAAATAATACAAGAATTTTAATAGCTTTTTACGTTTTCAAATAATATACATAATATGGCGCCCGCTATTTCAGCGGGAAGGGTTTAAAAGTTAAAAAATTCAGGTGATATTTTTATTGTTGGATGAATATAATTTTTAAACATTTTGTCTCAAAAAATGTTACGGAAATTTTGTAATAAAGCAGAAAAAAATAAAAGAAAAGCCCAGATTTATGGAATCACTTTCTTCATAATCAAGATATTTTTGTTTGTTATTCCCACATATAATGCCGCTGGCACTCAGCAAATCCATATTTTACATAAATGCTTATTGCATGAAAGAAAAACAAAAAGTATCCAAACTCATACATACGCGGGAGCAAAAATTCATGCTAGAGAAAAAAATTCTTGAAAGCTCTAGTGGCACCTAGCAGCAAAAATAACCATCAAATGATGTTTTTTTTTTTTTACCTACACGTGGAAATAGCGGGATCAATGTTGAAACAAAGAGGATAAACTCTGCGCCTGCGATATTTACGTGACCCGTAGTCAGGGTCGATACTGATACCCCCGCTCAAATCGCGAGAGCCGTACGTGGAGGGTTAGATGTACTATATTGTATATTTTGCTTTTAAAACAAAACTCTTAAAATTTCTTAGTGAATATATGAAAAATACATAAAATGTGTTAATAAAATTTTCAAGGAATATCATGAATTTAGCCTTATCACCTTTATTATTATTATTTTTATTATTAATATAACGTTGTATAGTGAAGCTCTAAACCAGATTGGCTCAAAACTGTGACCTATATCTCAGCAGTTAATCTGAAAAATTGGTCTACACCAGAATTATATTCTCCTGGGAACATAATTTTCTAAAATTTTAAAAGCTAAAGCTTTAAATACATAAAATTTCGTAAGCATAGCTTTTGGAGATACACTGTTATAAAATTAATTTTTTAGACAAACACTTTTTGCTTTAACTTTAAAAATATTCAATAGAATTAAACAAAATTTTTGAACTAGTTTTAAATTTTATAAAAATTGCATGAGGTAATTATTTAAAGTAGTATAATTTTTAATTATTGAAGTAAATTTTTTAATTAGCAAATTTTTTAAAAGATTTCATAATATTAAAGTGAATATCACTTTTGTTAACTAATGAAAATAGTCGTATTTAAATATCTTGAAAATTTAAGAAGTATGAAACAATTTACTAAGTAGTTTTTGCAAATGTTTAAAACAATTTCTGAATGGCGAAGGTTGTAGTGTGTTAAAATTTATACATATGTGGCATATATGTCTAATCAATTAATTTTAAACATCTGTTTATGCCGATTCATGAGTGAAACTTGTGTTTTATTTTATAACCGCCGTTGAACAGCTGACCCAATTTTGGTTTTATGACTACTAATGTTCAACTCCTTAGCTTTTGTAATTTTGAATCTAATCCAGAAGACAAGGGAACTCCTTGATCAACTATACTTACATCAGTTGTCGGTGAAAGCTGGGTGCAAAAATCCCATTGACCAGCCATTGCTGGGATTCGAGCTTGGGTCACATCATTGGCAGGCAAATGCTTTATCCCCTGACACAGCTCAAACTTGCTAATTTGGAATACTCTTTCCAAATTTCAACGGATTTTGCCAGTCTATTTTGTATATCCTGGATGTTGAAGTTCCAAAGATTGGCCAAAGTTGCATCCGCGTTGCATAAATGAAAAACGGACTGCTAATACAAGAGCGATTTTTTTTTTTTAATATTAATTTTGTCTGCAAAAACTATGCAGTATTTTTTTATTTTTTTTAAGAATAAAATAAATTTACTATTAATCCATACTAATAGATTTTTCAGTTAAATGATTGTTCTAAAATGTTTAAAGAAAAGAAAAAAAAACTAATGAACACTTTAAAACAAGTTGCTTTAATTATATTTCATTTTACACTAAAAGAAAATAGCATTAGAATTTTTTTTGTTGTTTGAACTTTTTGAACATCCTCTGCAATTGTTCAACAATAGACGATAATAATGACATGGGGTAAAATACATTATCACTAACACCTTTTAATTTATTACGAATTTGAGTTTTTCTTATTTTTAAATGCACTATGATTTTTCGCAGGTTATAAAGTCTACACCTTCAAGAATCCTTACTTGGGAAATTTTTGTGTACCTTTCCAACATTGGGCCTGCAGCCTAGAATGTGCCGAGGCCATTGAAATACCAGCCCGGGAAGAACAGCTGCTTGCGGCTATGGAACAAGACAGAGAATATCACAAGCACATCCAAGAGGCCCACAGACCCCCCTTTGAACATAAAAGTCTTGTCGATAACTTCAACTGTTCCATTTTGTGATTTTGTTTATCTCATTTAAAATATGTACATTATATACATAAAATGTGTTCGTGTATAGAATTTTAAAATATATTTCTGTATGACTAAAAATATATCTTAATTATGATTGTTTTGTAGACTAAGTCATTTATTATTATTTATTCCTAAATTGTCTCATACGATGCTTACGGATTATTTTTTAATCAATTTTAAGATCTGAGTACTTTATGAAATGTTTACATAAATAAAAAAAATGAACATTTTACTGTAAATTTTTCTTGTTTTCTTATCGTTTTTTATGTAAATAAAAAAATTAGATTTTTATACTAGGCTTGCTTTCAAATAAAATAAAGAAATACATAATAAGCAGTTAATCTGAAAAATCAGTCTATACAAGAATTATATTCTCCTGAGAACATAATTTCTAAAATTTTACTAGAAAATTTTAAAAGCTAAAGCTTTACAATTTTAAAATTGTCAGTTATTTGAAAAAGAACCACCCGTCATCACATAAAAAGGTGCATAAATCTTGTATGCATACCATTTTGGATGTATTAATTCAATGGTGGAAAAACTATGCCACTTTTAATGATTACAACTGGCATATAAATCAGATCTGGTATTATGGGAAGGCATAGTTTCTCTTTTATTATTAAATTCTCTCCATCTTGGAAGGCTATAATTTAATAAAATTAACTCTCGTTTAAGATTAAGTAAATATTGCACCTAATGAACTAGGTTCGACTGTAATCAATGTTGTTTTTCAAGTTCTGGTGTAATATAAAAATATATTTCTAAAAATAATTTTAAATATTTATTGATGATTAAATGTTACTTTGTTTAGAGACTTTATTTAGAAAAAAATTAAAACATGTTATAAAAATGTTATGTTTTTTATGGTTTCATAAAATCATTTATCAAAATAAATAAGCATTTTTTTTTGCCGTCAAAATAAATAGAAGGCCGCCTGCTTCTAAATTTTTATATGTTTTTCCCCAAAAAATAAAGCCTTTTAAAAGAAGCATGCAATGAAAAAGATTTATTATGCCGTATAAAATAACTTTTTTTTTTAAAAAAATTCCTCCAAATTTTTAATTTACAAAAAGAAATATGCTCAATTTTTTTTAATTGGAGTGCTCTTTAAAGTATTATAAATAATGGTATCAGTAAAAAAAAAAAAAAATCTTTTTATATTTTGTTTAAAATATTCATTAATAAAATTGCCTGTAGAATTATATATTAAAAGTATTATATTGTATGATATTTAAAAAAAATAATTCTCATCAATGAAAACATAAGTTTATTTTTTCAATAAAAATTTTTATTACTTTATTCATACTGGTCTCATGTTAATTTTTTAAGATAAATAATGTGACTTTCTGATATCATTGAAAAGTTAATACAGTAGGGAACCGATTATCCGGAACGATCGGCACCATCGCTATTCCGGATAACTGATTTTTCCGGTTTTCTGAATCGCTACAAAAAGCCGTTTTTCTATTGTTAAACCCAAATAAAAAAATTTTTTTTTGGAAATAATCTTAAAAAGAAGAAAAAACGATGGAGTAATACACTAATGATTATTTCCAAAATGATGGTAAGGTAAACATCTTTCAAAAAAGAAAGAAAAATCCTAAAATCTTATGAGGGAAAAAAAATTATTTTTTTTAAATGGCGGGAAAATTTATCGAATTTCGTTCCGGTTTTTTGATTTCCGGATAACGGGTTCTGTACTGTACTTATATGGTCTTATACTTGATACTATGTAAGAACTTTAAAGGGAAAAGTAGTGATACACTAATAAAGTGATATTTGTGCTGATAAGGAGTTAGTTGTAAGATTCCCAAGTTCCCTTTTTTTCATTTATTTTTTTTTAATCCAAAATAAAAGTAACTAAAATTTTAAGTAAAAAATTAATCAACAAATTAATACTTCCAAATTACATAAATTAGTTACTTCATTTTTTTCTCCTATAAAAATGTAATATTTAAGTTTGCCATAGTAAAGACAATTCTGTTTCTTTTCTTTTTTTAAAATAATTGAATTTAGTGTTGATGAATATAATTCAGAGATGATGAATGGGAGAAATATTTATTGGCTGTTAATGTCAAAATGATAGGTTTCTGTTTTTTAATCACAATCTTGTCATTTCTTTCTTCTTTTTTTTACTCACTAGTTAATCCTTACATTTTTTATAACTTTAACTGCACAAATCAACTAACTCTACTTTCTGAAATATCTTAAGTTTAAATTTCAAATCACTAGGTTCAGTCTCAGATTTGTATACTTTTAATAAGTTTACTAAATAATAAAAACCGCTAAACGAAAAAAAAAAATGTTACATAAAAAATTTACCTATACGAGAAAATTTTTTCTCATATTATGCAGGGAATTTTAGAAACAATGCAATACAGGGAATTTTAGAAACAATGATTTCTTTCATTACATCTTCCCTTTTTGATTTATGAAATTAATCTGTGCAGCTCATATATATTTCATGATGATATCAGATGAACTAGTTTAGTGGTTTTCTTAATGGTATTCCTAGAATGGCCCTAGGGTTCCATGGGTTAGGATTTTTTTTTAAATAGCAACGGTTTTTGAATAGAGTATTTATATTCAGATCCAATCAATGATCTATTCCTTATGTTTGTCCTTATGAAATTAGATAATGTAAAATGACAATGAAAAAATTGCAAATATTCATAAAATAAAATAAGCATTTTAAAAAATATAATTCATTGAAGAAAAATAACATATTAAACAAATTATGAAAAAGGACAAACATTTATAGAAAATTGAATTAGTATTTCCCACCAAGATTTAGAAAGCGAAATAAAATTAAATAATTTACTAATGAACTCTGATTTTCAACATACACCAGGTTTGTTTAAGCTGTTCATATGTTACAGTGAATGACAGAAATTAGTGGTTGTTGACTTCCGGTGAATGTTGACAATCACATAGGTCACATTTGGCAAATCTGAAATATATAATCGGTCTAGTTAAGTGCCACTGTTCGGTATGCCCTTCATCAATCTTTTTTTAAGGTCAAGTGTCACTGCCCAGTTTATATTTAACAGATACTCTGAACATTGATGTTTCTCCTAATCTATCCTCAGCAGATATTAAAATATCGAATAAATGTAATAATATCAACGAATAAATTAATATCAAAATGGATATAACAAATATTTCGAACATTCGCCGAAGCGACTATGAGATTGCTGACATTCACTGGTGAAAGTCGACATTATCTTGATTTTGGCCGTTCACGGAAACATATACACTACCAAAAACTAAACTAGGCATAGCTACAGCAGTGTGAATTCAACTGCCAGATATAAACTAACTTAGGAAAAATAAAAAATTATTAATGAAAAAACAGTAAAAAGTTTCATTCTTGTTATTAAATATTTAAAGTAGACTATTATTGGTTAATGCGCTTACAATTATCTTCATATACTTTAAAGTCTGGGTTCTGTGGAAAGAAGGTTAATCCTAATTCCATAGCCAGAAAAAATTTTGAACTATAGTTAACAGAAAATATTGCTAGCCAGAAACTGGATCTCTATATACCAGACTGGCACAGGATTAAAGTCATGTTTTCTTTAAGACTCAAAAGCACACTCTTCTATGCCACATGAAAATGTCATAGACAAGATTGTGATCGCTCAAAGCCGATAAAATTTAGGCCCTTAAAAAGGAATTTAATTTATGAATTTATTCAAGTGTGTTAAATTTTAACATTATTAAAACACAATTTATGTTGTAATTTGTTAATCATATTTCCATAGCTAGAAAAATTTTGAACCTCTAAATTTGTTTACAGAAAAGAATGATGGTCAGAAACTGGATCTCTATATACCAGACTGACACAGAATTGAGGTCATGCTTTTTTTTTAAGACACAAAAGCACATCTCTTGAGCAGCAAAATAACTTGGGCCCTTATTGGACCAATATTCAGAAATCTTGGCTCAATAAGGTTCAAAGGGTCGATATTTTTCCAATATGAGCCCTATATAGAATTGTCAGATTCACCCAATATTTTACTATCACTTTATAACCAATATCGGCCCGATATAGAATTGTCAGATTCACCCGATATTTTATAATTATTATTCAACCAATATAAGCCCTATATAGACAGGCCGATATTGACACTGCATAGGACCAATATTAAATAAGTTAGTCATCCCAATATTGGTCCCTCAGAGCATGTTCATATGGAGTCATGTCAAGCCCAACTGGGGCCAAGACATAATTGTTGCTAGGGTTCTATGCCACATGAAAATGTCAAAGACAAGATTGTGCTTAGTGGGTATGGAACAAGGACAACAAAATTTAGGTGTCATTAAAAAAGAATTTAATATATGAATTTATTCAAATGTATTAAATTTTAACATTATTAAAACACAATTTATGTTGTAATTTGTATCACTTTCTCTATCGCAATTGAAATACAAACTGTAGCAAAAAATTTCAAAATGCAGCTATATTTCGCTAAATCCAGGACTTACGCACATCAGCTTAATTGTAAATAGTATTATGGTAATTTATTTAAAAACACTTATTTTGAAAATATATATTTGGCTTTTTATTTCTCATGCAAATAAAACATACATAAATGCAATTGCATCTAATTATTGCGAAATGAGATAAAGTATCACACTAAAGCATTTTAGTCATACAACCACGAAGAATCTATAAATTATCTCATTTCTTTTACAGGTCATAAAACAAAACCAATCAGTATAGCAATAATTTATTTTAGTATTTCCCAAATTAAGTCAATAAAAATGTTCTCATGAAAAACAGGAAATTATTTATAAAAATCAGAAAAAAAATTATAAATATTGATGCATTTAGCCGTTCCTTAATAGTGATATTTTATTCATTTCTACTTCAATGCAACAAAACTTAATCATTTTTCTTTTTTATGTTCAATAAAAATAAGTTCACAAAAATTTATAAAATAAAATGTTTTATGTATTATTCAAAAAAAAAAATAAAAACAATCAAATCAAATTTTTAAAATATTAAAAATAATTTAGAAAAAAATCAAAGGAGACGAATTTAATTGTTAACACCAAAAAGAATTTTTATTCAAAAATTAAATATAAAAACACCTCTGCAACACTCGCTTCATAATTAATTAATTAGCCTACAACTGTTAACTAATCGACAGAAATTATTTTCTAATTATTATGAACAATGATCCACTACCTATAAATTGCAAACCAATAACTTTAAAACAATAGTAAATATAAAATGGTTTCTTTTTTAAGATTAATTTGTCAACATACCTTTAGTAATTATATTCAACCAACATTTACTTCACAATAACAAAACTCAAAATCTTATATAGATAAATATATAATTAATTAAGATATTTATAAGCAGTTAAGAGTCTTAGTTTACACAAAATTAATTCTCAATCAATTCAAGTTGATCCAAGTAGTTAAAAAGCAAATAAATGAGCTATAATAAAATTATAGGTAGAGTTGCTCATTATTTATGTTTGTAATTCTTATGTTAAGTTTTTATAACATTTCTTTATGTTATAAAAACCAATTATTAAATAAGTAGTTCATGAGGCTTTATACTTGAATTTTGATGCTAAATAAATCTGAAATTTCATTGTGATTATTATTTTCTTTAAATTTAGAATAAAATTCAAAATTAAAATTACACTGTCTATTGAGTTACAATATAAAAAACTTTGGCTCTTAGTTTAAAAATATTTAAGATTTAAAAATTGCATGTAAATTTTTTTTCATTAAATACAAATATAATTCATAAGATTTTTTAAAATAAATAAAATAACACTTTAATCTTAGCACAAATGGTTTACCAAAATTATACACTAAGAACTATAAGAAAATGATTTAAAAAAAAAAGCTTTTAACAAAGTTCATGCATAAATAATTTTAAGGCTAACATTCAACAAATATATTCAAATTATAAATAAATTTTTTATAATTAATTACTGTATATACAATAAAAATGATTTATATATTTACAAAAAAAAATATTTTAATAAACTAAATAATTAAAAAACAATTAACTAATAAAAATAAAACACATAGAAATCTTTCTAATAAATGCCTTTTTTTCTTACAGACAGGAAACTTTTTATAAAATGACATTCAATTTACATGGATGGAATAATATAATTACATCTATAAAAAGCTATATCTATAATACAAACAAATCAGTGACCAGCAAAAATATAATCTTTATTTTTACCTCTTCCGTTTTTCCACAGCTACATATATTACAGTAGCCACTTTTTCAATTTTAAATACACACAATTTATTTCAATATGCACATTTTCTATTAATGCTGTTTTAAAATTAGTTTTCAAATTTTTCACAAATGCCATTTTGTGATAATACAATTTAATACTCAATTTATACAAGTTAATACTCATAATATTTTATTGAAATTCACAACATTTATAGAACTGTTTATGCTAAAAAATTCTTATTTTAATTTTAAAAACATCAGTATCAGGGGAGATTGTGAGCCCAACTCAAAAACCCTGAAAATGTGTTGAGCAAAATTATTAATGACACATCTTTAAAAATTAATGTCTTTATAAATTTAAATTATTGATATTTTCACCATGAAATTGTAAAATAATTATATGCAGTATAATTCAATTGAATAATTATGTATAAGTTTACTTTTATCTCAAATCATTTATTATTTTATCAGAAAAAATATTTACGATTGAATGAGGTGTTATTTTATAAAATGTACAAGAATTTTTATACATAAATGTGATTGATGATTTCTTAAAGCTTCTAAACCTTGGATTTCCGGAAACTTCCGGACTGGGGCTAGGGAAAAATCTAAATTTTTTCCGGAGCACAATCATCTCTGTATCATACTTTTAATAAAATAAATAAAAATTTAGTTTATACATTATTTCACTGTAATTTATACATTGGTCAAAATCTGAAAGTTAATATCAATATTTTGCATTTTCTCTTTTTTTTAAAGAGAGATTTTTTAAAAAAGAGAGCTTGCCAACATCAGGAAAAATTATTATCAATCTTTTGAAATTAGACCCAGACATTTCAAACGTTCAGGAAGCTTTCTTGTACAACTCACAGATTTACTTATAACAATGGGAATGTATTGCAAGCAAAATTCTTCCTAAATTCGCTCAAAGGTTTAAAGTGTAATATAAAACTGGAAAATTCAAATTTCTGTAATCAATAGCAATCAATTGCTGAGATATCAAGTAAATGGCCACATTTGTGAGCCAGATTGTTCCGAGATGAATCATTCCAGAACCTCCTTCAGTATAGCAGGAGCTGGAGACACTGAATATTCCACAGCTGCAACGGGTGTAAATGTAGGGAAAGCAGATTCTATGTCTAACAGAAGTGGACTTGGATTCCTAACAGTTTCAGGTTTCTTTTTCAGTTGAGTCTTAGACTTCTGTTCTTCAGCCATTTTCTCTGCAGGGAATGGCATAGGAACAATAGGCTGGGATTCATTTTCCAGGAATTGGACAAATAATGTAGTAAATGATTTCTGAAGAAGTAAAAAAATAAGGTTCTTTCAAACACAAAAAAATAGGGGGTAAAAACAGAAAATAATGTTGTTAAACTACAATGCTATCAATTAAACACTATCTTTAGAATAAAAACAGGATTAACATTGTGTTACATTGTAATTAGTATTAAAAAAAGTTATGCTGTTCTACATACAATTTACAATATTATAACCATTTATTCTTTGTATAATAATGATTACTTAGTAAATTTATTTTATTTTTAAGCTTGAAACTGAGTCATTATCTAAAAAACACTATCATTATCTAAAAGAGTTACTTAAAAAATACATTTATTTTTATAAATGTGCACAAAATTCTACTATCTAGGTTAATTCTTATCTAATTGATTTTAAATTAAAGTCAAAATCTCTAATTTAAAAATCTTAAATTAGAAATTTATTCTTCTTTAAACATAATTAAATGATGAATTTCTGATTATATATTTAAAAATATTATTATTATTTTACATTTTAAGTAAATCGAATTTTTTTTCCTCCACAAAATATATGGCACATATAATATGAAAAAAAAAATAATGATATATAAATCAAATTAATGATAAACAAAATGTTTGACAAGTTTTAAATTCTTTTGTTCGTAGTAAGTTAAGTAATTCAAATAAAAAAAACGTTATTTGAAACTTGATCTTCTTCGAACTAATAAATTAAAACATGCTTAAAATCCTTTAGCATTAGCATTTTCTTGATTTGCTAAATTTTTATGCTTAACTTATACTTTAGCTTAAAAATAACACATCTTTCAAATTCTATAATAATTATTAACAATTATGAGGATGTTCAACTTTTTTTTTTGGATCAATTTTTGAAAATCAAACAGTTTTTGAAAAGTTAAATTTTTTAAGATCGTAAATGGTACTATTCAGGCTTAAAAAAATTGTTTAATTGTATTTAGCATGCATAGAGACAAATTCACAACAACAAAGGATATATAATTGAAAAAAAATAATAATCCAAGTTTCAAAACTGAGATAAATTATCTGATTCAAACTTTAGTGAATTCATTTCTCAATATAAAATATGTAAATCACAAATTTTAAAATACAATGTATTGCCACTAATTTTATTAAAAATTTAGTCTTGACAGAATCAGTTTGAATTTTTTTAAACGCAGAAGCACAATAAAGTTGATCTAATGTCCTCTCCACAAATTATATGCATGAAATTTACATATTTTTAAAAGTTAAATTTTTTTATTAATTTCTAAGTTATAATAATTGATTTCATTTTACAAACGAATAAATGAATAAATTGAACGAGTTCAAAAATATTTTCTGACGTTTTGCAGAAGTTACATTGTACAGAGTTATAACCTATGCAAATATGTATACTTCAACGTATAACATATATAGAGAGCTTTCAATTAATTTCATTGATAAAATTTTCTGTCTTTTCAGATCTAAGAAAAATGCCAACAAAATTTCATACCACAAGTTTGCTAAAATTGCTTGAGTTTTGTTTCCTGAGAAATATAATTACTTTTATTTTAATAAACGACAAAATTTACTTTTAAATAAAAAATATGTTAAATATTACATTTTGTTATAAAAAAAATGGTGTAATTTAAAGGTATAATAAGTAAATTTTATAATACACAAGTATTAGAATCCTAGACAGAACAATGTTTTGCACAAAAACCAAAACAATTATATGCTCAATAGAAAACTAGAGTCATATTTCTCATGTAGATATAATATCTTACGTATGATTAAAATGCCAAAATAATAAGTACTGAAAATTTAATTTTTTAAACAAAATTTTACTGACTTAGCGAATAGAAGCAATACACAAATATGGTAAAATTTAAGAAACAGTTTGGAGAAAAAATATTGCAAAACAGAGTATTTGATACAAATTGACATTCCGATTTAAATAAATTTTAAAAAAGTAAACATACTGCAGTGAAAAATAAATAGTAGTATTAGATTACTTTGAATATCATTGAATAGCTAATAAATTTCATTGCAATTCCGGGTGGTTCAATTTTTACTTTCATTTAATCTAAGGTAGGTTATTTTTCGAGCTTGGGAGATTTTTTTACATTTTGGCTTAAAAAATCATTATCGCCTAACTTTCTTCTCCAAAATGAAATTCTCTGACAATTGGGTATTTGCACTTCAAGAAGAAGAAGACCTCTCATACCTACACATGCGACCTATGACGTCAGCACCAATCATCTTTATCAGCAAAATGAAGTAATTAAAGTTGAGCTAAGTTTCTCTCCATAACTTAGAATGTTAATTAACGATAAGTTAATTGAATACAGAGTTGTATCGCACTCCAAATTAATTGAAATATAATTCCTTTCTGTCTACTTCTTTTACTTAACTTAGATTTATTATTTATGTATTTAATTGTAACCATGATATATTTTTGTTATGCGTACCAGGCAACTTTGAGGCATTATTAGTTTGTTCCATATGTAGGGGTGATTGTGAGCCCAAGTCAAAATTCCGGAAAATTTCACGAGTTAAAAAAAAAAAAAGTAGAAAAAACAGTTTAAATTAAAAAAAAATTAAACAAGGCTTTTTCCATTTTTCTCAATATTTCTCAGTTTACTTAAAATCTATTTAAAATTTTACACATAACTATACCATTTACACATACCTATGATGACTTGGAGAAGTAATTAAAATTTACAAATAGGTCTTTCTTTCTTGAGTTTATGATTATAACAACTATTTACTGATAAAAAATTAATATTAATCATGAATATAAGCTCATAAAGTATCTCTCTGGTTCTCCCTTACAAACAAACAAAATAAACTGTGTTTTTAAGTTCCACCTTTGAAAATTTGATTTCCGGAAATTTCTGTGATCAATGATTTTTTGAAATGTCTGAACCTTCGATCTCCGGAAACTTCCGGATCACTGTCAGCGAAAATTCCGGAAATCCGAATTTTTTCTGGAGCACAATCAGCCCTGCATATGGCTTCGCGCTGAAGTCTCTGTGTAAATATATAGTGAAAGAATTAAAATCTTAAAAAGAATGTGTCACTTAAGAGAATTGATAATTGGCGAGCTTGGCTTACTCAAAATAGAATAGAAATAACAGTTGCTAATGTAAACAAATGCCAAGTTTCAACAACCAATAAGGATCGAGATACCCACACTACGTCACTTGCAGGCATCCCATTACAGATTTTTGTAGCCCTGTGCAAATTTTACATATAAGTAGAAACATAAAATAATTTAACTTGTAAAAATATAGCCACACCACAATCAATAAATAAAAGTTCAAAATATTTTTTTTAAAATCCTCCATTGCACCAATATTAGCGTTTTCAATAAAAACTAGTGGTATTTTAAAATTTATCGGAAAATAAATAAATAGTTACCTCTTGCGGTTGTGGACTACTTTCAGCAGAGCTCAGAGATGGCAGCCGATTGAATATAGACGAAAAGATTCCTCCCTTACTATCTTGTCTTCTAGTTTGCCTACCCACTACTATACCAGCCTATACAAAAAGTATTAGGTAAATACAATGACAAAAGGCCTACAGTGCACATAAAAATGCAAGACACATTCTCAGAAATTTTTCATCTCATTACCAGATTTCCATGTTAAGTGAAACCTGACAAGTAGACCATGATTATTAAGAACTAAATTTTTTCTATACAGTAAAGAAGAGAAAAACCATTGTAACCAGAGCCCCAGTTTATCTTGTATGTCGACCACTAAAATAAGTCAAGTTTGTATATTGATTGCTATTCTAATCCATTCATAAATTGACCTGAAGTCAAAATAATTTGTTAGGAATTAAAGAAAAGAAAAAAGGAAATTTTTTTATTGTTATTTATTGCATTCAGTTTAGGAAACTAATGTGGTAATGTCTTTTTTTGTTTGTAATTAATATTTATTTTTAAATTGGTTTTTTTTAAGACTACATTATCTAAAAAATACAATGGAATCTCTAGTACCAGAATTTCTTTCATCCAAATACCTTATTCATATAAAATTTTAATCTCTTGCTATTTCTTAATCTCTTGCTATAATTAATAGTGTGGGATACTCAATTGATCGCATTAGACTTCAACATCAATAATTACTAATTTAATTTAATTGCACATGTAATAATTTTTACTATAATATTATGGTATGGTATACAAAGTAGAGCTTCCAATTATTTCTAATGATCAGTGCTTTACCATAAATCAACCCCCCCCCCTTTTTAGCATTTTAAAATGCAAATATTGTCATACAAATCGAATAGTACAGGCAAAATACACTGACAACACTTCAAATTAGGTTCAACTGTTTTAAGGGTAAACAAAAAGCTCAAAAATTGCAAATTCAATAATAAAATAAACTTTTAAAATCACTTTTTCCATCTCCTCCTGGTTAAAGTCTAGAACTCTAGCTAGAAGACGAATCACTTCAGATTTCTGATTGGGTGGTGTGGAAAAATAGCCCAAAACCAAACTTTTCATTACTATTCTATAAATAAAAGGTTGTTTTAGACACAAAGAAAGTAAAGGACATACTCTGAGTAACTTTTGATCTAATGATGGGATTTTCCATATACTAGGACTCAATTCTAATAATTTAAATGCCTAACCTTGATAAATACTGTAGATTAGGGGTGCACAACATGCAGCCCATCCACTGTCAATGTTCGGCCAGCAGGAGCTTATGAGCAATAAAAAATTTCTTTTAATTTGGTTTTTGTTCTAACATTATAAATCTTCTTAAATTAAAATATTTAATTCAAATTTATGTTGCTCTATAAAATTGGTACATTTTTTGCACTTTCATTCCGTAAGCTTAGTTAGAATTTATATCTCTCCCAATATATATATATATATATATAATAAATTAATTACTGTGAAAATCAGAAGAAAAAAAATTTTAAAAAAGTATCAGCTTTTTAGTTCTAAATAAATTCAAATAATTTAATGTATTTAATTTTTAGCAAATATGCTAAGTTTACTGTTAAAAATATTTAGTGCTAAGAACACAACACTAATGTTTATATAATCTACTTGCTATATGCAAGGGCGCTTCACTCAAAAAGATTGTGTACATCTAGTGCAGATGATATCTTACATTATGAAATCAGACGCAAAAGCTTAAATTATAGTGAAAAAGACAAAAAATGAAATTAAACATTAAGTGATCCAAATTTTTAACTGCTCCCCTTCATAAAATATTGGGAACCTATTTCCCAACCCTATTCCTGATATTTTGAGGGTCAAAAACCTGAATTTGCCAGGAAAAAGGTATATTTATTCAGGGAACATAAACTAATAAAATTATGTATTGGTACATGAAAATCCGATCATTGTATCAAAAGTTATTCAGTTTTCACTTTGATTTGGCAAGCACACAGCATACATATATATATGTATGAATGATCACTTATTGATAATATATGAAATTACTAACCTGTCTACTTTTCCTTCTGTATTGCTTCTTATGGAACTGATTTCTAGGGCAGTTGATTTTATCTTATTTTCAGTTTCCCATACTATGGATAAAAAGAAAATGCATGAGTGTTCAATTAATTTTAATAGACTTCAGATCAATAATGAAATTGTCAGGTTGCCTAACAAAGTTCTGTGTGAAATATTTATTAAATCATAATTTTGTTTCACAATCATTTTTCAGCATTAAGTAGTAGTTTCTCAGCATTAAAAAATTTTAAAAAACAATATATGAGCAATCAAATAAGCTGAATGCTTTGACACTACCATACTTTTACATTTTTATCTAAACCTTCTATAAAGGATATGATGCACAACTTAAAATAGATAAAAATACAAAGCTAGAAGATGAATAAAAAGAATAGTGCATCATACAATGAGGAACATTAAGAAATTTAATTAGGTCACTCATAAGTAAAAAATTAATTTAAAATAAAATAAATTACTAGAAACTTTCAGAGAATAATCAAGAGATTTTATCTTGAAAATATTTAATTAAGGTATTAAATCACGGGAAAAAAATGTTTTATCTTCACTGAACTCATTCAAAAACTTATTATAAAACAATAATCCTTTTATAAAATAAATATATGGTGAAAGAATACAGTGAAAATATATAATGAAAGAATTGAAATCTTTTAGAAAAAAATCTTTGTGAAAGAATTTAGAATCCGTCACTTAAGAGAAATGATACTTTATGGGGTTGGCTTACTCGAAATAGAATGGAAAAAACAGTTGCTAACGTAAACAATTATACCAAGTTTCAACAACCAATCACGATCGCGACACGCACACTACGTCACTCGCAGGTATCCCATTAAAAACGACCATTTAAAGGATGAACGTGGTGTGCAAAGTACATATCAAGTGTTGAAACCGAAGGTCATACTCATTCTACCACATTACATTTCAATTATTTTAAAACATGCGTAAGCATTTTGTTTTAAAACAGTCTAGACACATTTCTTGTATTAGCAGTTTTGTACTTTTACAATAAATTTGAAAAAATATTAATCTACTTTTATTCCCAAAAGTGTGTTTAACCTCTTAAAGTGGTATTTATAAACACTTAACAGTATTCTTTTAAGTTAAAAACAAAGGTGTGCATACATTCTCGTTTTAGAGTTGAAATTATTTCTTCCTTTGCATCCAATTGTTCACTTAGTCGAGAAGCAGCTTCTAAAGCTCTTGAACTTTCTTCCAGTTGCATCTACAATAAAAATGGCATTATTTATTTAAAAAGAAACGAAGTTCAGCATCCATACATTTTATTTTAAAAAATGAATAAATAAGTAAACATAATAATTTAAATACACAATAAGTTACTATTTCTTAATTATGATTTAACAATTATTAAATAAAACTGAAAAATACCTTTAATAATGAATCTGTACAAGTCTTGATTATGGCTTTTATACAAAAGTTTAGACATAATACGGATAATCATAAAGTAAAAACAGATTGATTGATTGAACACATAAATGTGTTCAGTTTAAACTTCAACTTATCTATTTTTAAAATTGTTTCAACTATATTCTCAATGGCAAGAGAAAAAAAAATTATAATCTAAATCTTTGTCTAGAGCAATATCAAATCTAGCATACAAAGCTGCAAGCTTTGATTCTTCACATACCTTCAGAAAATTTTAAAATGATTCTTAAACTAAAATAATTTGAGATATCAATAATTTTCAAACAAAAAGTATAGAAACATAAATTACATTAAACATACATAAATGGCAATGAATCTGCTATTGTGAATCTAAAACTTTTAGATTTGAGCAAGTTTAGAATAAAACCTCATAAAAAGGTAAAATGACTTTTAGCATGTAATAATTAGCATAAATACTGAAAGAAAAACTAACACAATAAATTAAAACAACAGCAATGCAAATTATGTCTGATCGCAAAAACAAGGTTTGGAGGTAAATAACAATAATTTTGTTAGAAGAAAACATTTTTCTGTCATTTTAAAAGAAAAAGTTAAACTTTTATAATGGTAAAAAATATAATACAAATTAGTTTGTAACACTTTTGATAGTTGAATTTCTAAAGATTATGAGTGGGACAAAATTTAGTTTTATAAATTATTACTATTTCAAAATACTTCTCTAAATTCTCTTAGTTTTGATACTTATGATGCTAGTTTATTCAAGAACATAATAAATCAATAAATATAAATAATAATAAAAATCAAATAATTTTTTTGTTAAAAAATTATTATCAAAAAAAAAAACTTTATTTTCAAAAAATATTTTCTAAAGACATTGTTTTAAAAAAAAAAAGAAAAATTAGCACTATAATTTTAGGGAAAATTTCAAACAAAAAAAAATTACTCAATTCTTCGGAAATATTAGAATTGGAAAATTTCCTGCACCCTAGCTGGAACACTAGAGAGTGAATTAAGGTTTCATTAATGCCTACCTAATGAATAACAGAGCATTAAAGACTGCCTATTCTTCTATAGCTAATTTTTAACACTTGTCAAATAATATTGTACAGATTTTGTTCAACAAGTACATATTTAGAAAACAATTACCTGTTTCCTACTTTAACTAATATATAACCTGTGATAGAATTTTAAATTTTAACAATGAAAAATATTTTCTTATGCTTAAAATGGATAGTGAGATGCTATAAAACTATTTAAAATAAGTATCAGTAAATAAAGACAAATTCTATTGCTTATCATCATAATTTACAATTAGTATTTCAAAAACTTTAATTTCAGTGATATGCTAATTTTATTTAGATTAACACACATGATCCCAAAATGAATTTTCTTTCATCAAAAAAGTCTAAAATTGGATTGAATCTATAGTTAAATAACATAAAAGTCAGAATCAGAAATGTGTTAAATATAAACAATTCACTTACTCGAAATTGTGAAATTATAGTATGTGATGTAAACAAAGCATGGCGCAAAAAAAAAATAAAAACATAGAAAATGTAGAGAAGAAATAGAAATATAAGTAGAATACCTCGAAGTTTGGGGATACATGATCAACTAAAGGGTTAAATTGAATAAAGAGCTAGAATATTGTGAGGAGGAAGGAAAAAAGAAGAACGATAACTAGAACGTGGAATACGCACTTACTTAAAAGTAAATTGAGCAGTCTATACAGCAAAAAGATTTAACACTAAAAACTAGAAATCCACCTGATGGAATGAGGAGGTATACATAAATGCAGAAAAAATATAAAACAGTTATTAAAAAAAAATTAACAGTTAAAAAAATTTTATTGCAAAAAGAAAAAATTAAAAATGGTTACATATTATACTAAAATAAAAAATATATTAACATTAAACACCTTTTTAATTTGCAACTGTTTTTCTAACTGCTGGTTCGCTTCTTTCTGACTTTGAAGAAGAGTTTGCCACTTGTTATCAACCTCTTTGATTTTTCTTTCATTGCCTATTAAGAGAAAAAAAAATGCTAAGTTTAGATACATTGTTTTTGCATTAATAATTTGCAAGAAATAATTATAATTACACTATGCATCAACTTGTCAATTTTTTTAAACAAATTAAACAGCAATATCTTGTTCACTGAATAAATTTAGATACGGTTAGTTTTAGTTTAAATGAAATATTAGGGCAATTTTACTACCTTCAGTTGGTTTCGAACAGTTAGCTTTTGATTTCCGGCATAAGAGCCAAAAATTTGCTATACTGTGACAATCATTTGGCGAATACAGAAACAGGATTTAAATTATTTACTACCCTATTTTATACTTAAGATATAACAGCATAAATACAAGTGATTATAGAATTCAGGGGTATGTCCAAGCCAAATTTACTACCGTTACTACCTTCACAAATTCAACTTTAGGGAAAATGGTAGTTTCACAAAATACTTTTTCTTAAAATTTTATTTTCTGTCTCGTAAGAAACGATAAATTTGTATTTTTATCATAATTTTGTGTTGCTTTTTTAATATAATTTTTAATTTTCACAAATTATGTCTAAATTTTCACAAAGTAGGTACCTATTAGAAAAACCTAGACAGACCACTGGAATTAAAAATGTTCTACTTTGAGTCAAATGTTAGTTCAATTTTACTTTCAATTGCAACAATACATCAATTTTCAGGCATTATAGAATAGAATTAAAATATTTTATCAATCTCTTTCTTACTGTAGGGATGCAAACTAATTAATAAAATAAATTAAAAACAGTCAAAGACAAATTTCAAGAAAACAAAGAAAACATCTCTGATACACAGTTGGGCATTAAAATTGAAACACCATGAAAGGGACAAGTCAGATACATAAAATTTGCAAGAAAACTCAAACATGATGTGATCAAACAGCACATTCAGGCAAAGCAGGCAGCAGAAGCAACACTGGCAAGGCGTACAGAAGAGGTTTGAAAGTAGTTTTATAAAGTAGTGACATTTATAAATAGCTCTTATAGTGTATGTGTCAAATCAGTAAATATGTATTCTATTAATAGACATTTTTTTTAAAATTGAATATAAAGAAACATAGGACTATATTTTTTTCCTAGCAATATAGAAAAATGTGGGATTTTAAAATTAAATATAAAGAATAGATAGCATGACAGCATCTTTTATTCGCCCTGAGTATTTGTATGAGGAACTAATGAAAAATCATAAATATTTAAATTCAGATTAATCTTTCAAAAAGCAAGTATTTAACAAAAACTTACATGATGTTCATTAAATAGTCATTTAAATAAAAGTACAACAAAAACACTTCTATAGTACCACTTACTTTTTTGCATTTGTTCAAGTACTAACTGTAATTTATTCACAGATGTAGAGTGTTGCAACACTTTATCCTCTAAAGAAGATATCTGAGCCAGAGTTTCATCTCGCTGAGTAGCTACCATCGAAAGTTGCTCTTGGAGACTTGCTATTTGAATGCTAGCTCGTTGGCTAAAAAGAAAAAAACAAAGATTTTCATTTACATTATGCCCTTAAAGGTCAAATAAGAAAATGTTATATGGGTCACAAAGACCAAATTAGATAAGGTGAGCTAGACAAACAGTCTAAGAAGCAGATATCTTTTAAAGAAATGCTCTTACTAAAGTAATAAAAAGTTATCTAAAAAATTAATATTTTATAATGATATAAATGTTTGAGGTACTAGTTGATCCAAATTGAATGGAAAAAAAAACGTAAGGAAGAAAAGCTTATTTTTTTAAGCAGTTGTTGAAATTATTAAACATTTTAAATTAAAAAATAATTTTGTATACAATTATTTAAATTAATAATAATTATATGTATAATTATAAAAACATAATATTTATAATTTTGTATACAGAAGATATATAGACTAAAAATGTCATATAAAAAACTGCAGCTGGGAAGGAAGAAACCAATTACAGATTTAGAATCAGCAACATGAAAATATCCAAGATCTGTAAAGAATTTTTTAATTCTCTAGTATTATTTGAGTTATTTATTGAATCTCTTATTTATTCAAGAAATATTAATTAATTTTATGTGTAAATTGGATCTCTAGTGTTATCCCAGAAATTATTTTCATATAAGGTTGTCGAAAATAAATATTTTATTTGAGTCTTTCCAAACCTCCATAATTAGAACAAACTTCCAGTACTATTACATGAATTAGCAACAAAAAAAAAAAACACCTACTTAGTATCAACAACTGCCGAGCTATTTATATCCGCTCTTCTATTCACTTCAAATAACTCCTCTTTCAATTTCTTTTCTCTTTCCTCTGCTTTCAAAGCTTCATTTGTATAATTCTCTTCAACCTATTAATATTTATACAATTATTCATTATAACTTTTTGAAACATTAAAGGTTCAAAAACTTAAAAATATATGCTATGACATATTCAAATTTATTAAAACATAGTTTAGTTCTCAAAGAAAATTGTAGCAGATCCTAATATACAGACTAAATTTACAGATACCAGCAAACAAAATGCTACAAAATTTGGAAGATAGCAATTTTTGAATGAAAAAATACTAAATAGGAGATGTACTTTTTTACAGGTTTATTAACTTGTTATTCTTCACAAAGAATATCGAGACTTGGGTGAATATAATTTGACAGCAAGTGCCATTAATATCATTTACGATACACTTTCTCATGAATTCATCAGTAAATATTAACATTAGTTTTTAAACCAAACAGTTAAAATGAGTGAAAACGTTTTAATCTGATAGGCTATTCACTTAAAAACACTGAACTTTACGAGTGAGTGTGTTTTAAGTGTGACACTTTTGGTTTAATACAAAACCCTTATTAACTTATCAAAATAAAATTTATCCACAACCGGAGAGTCAAAGGGACAAATAAGGAGAAAAATTAGACTTTTCTATAATTCTGTAATCAGTACTAAAACATGTAGAAATTAAGATGCAGATTTTATTTTATTTTTTTTTGATAATTATTTGCTTTATAAAAACTAGTCAATTTTTTTTTCTTTATATTACTCTTAAATTAAGTATAAATAAACAAATCATTAATGCTGGACTAAAACATGGTATCTGAAGGATCAACACGTGGCAAACAACTTAAAAATGGTAATGCATTCTTGTTCAAAAAGAAGAATCTGGAAGGCATATGTTTTAAAGTACTACTCTTCTATTTTAATATGAACTGAACTCATGAGTCGTAATAATTCATACTGGGCCATGACGGCTCAAAGGATAGAGCATTCGCCTTCTAATGAGTTAACCCGGGTGTGAATCCCGGCAACGGCTGGTCGATACAAAGTCCGCTTCGATTGCACCAGCCATAGTGCTGACGTAAAATATCCTCAGTGGCAGATGGATCATGGGTTAGAGTCCCCTTACCACCAGGCTAACTGTAGAAGGTTTTCGTGGTCCTCCTCTCCATGTAATGCAAATGCAGGTTAGTTCTATAAAAAAAAGTCCTCCGCGAAAGCAAAATTTCTCCTAATACTTGATCCGGGAGTTCCCTTGTCTTCTGGATTGGGTTCAAAATGACAAAGCTACGGATGAACATTAGTAGTCGTAAACCCAAACAATTGGATTAGCTGTTCAACGACAGTTATAAAATAAATTTATCTATACAACACCAAACCAGGGTTGCAAAAAATCCACCTGCTCAATAAAACCCGCCGCGGTTTTACTGGGTAAAACCCACTCTGAAAAACCCACCCTAAGGTGGGTTTTTCTAAGATTGATTTCTTTTTTTATCCTCTGTTATATTAAAGCGTTATTCTATTGAAATATATATGTAGTTTAGCCTTAAAAAAATTAACCTATAGTGAAGAAACTAATTGTGTTGGAGACTGGAGAGTCACGTTGCTGGCTAGATTTGACTGTATGGCCATTGATTAGTCAGTACCATTGATTCGCTTTCTAGGCAAATAAAAAAATTTCCTCAAATATTTTACAAGATTAAAATACAAATAAAAAGAAATTCTCTGTTTAAATAAGTTTCAAATGTGTGATGTATGTGAGTACATATAACATTTTGCATCGTGATGTCAGAAGAAACTTTTTTCAGACTTTCACATCAATTTATTTGTATTAATTAATTTTATGAAGTCAATTTATAAAATTAAACTTATAATTATTAATATCAAAATAAGGTTTTTTAAAATAAGGTACTTATACCTGCCCTCTCTTTTGAAAAAAACCCCATAAAAATATGAAAAACCCAGAAAAGCCCAATAAAACCAACCCGGGTTGGGTTTTTCTACAAAAACACGGGTTTTTTGCAACCCTGCACCAAACTGAAACAATATTAAATACTCAAAATAACAAGAACTAAAAAATATTTCATAAATTATGTTTGGTAATTTTTTTTATAAACTAAAGATAACAGGTATGCTTTTGGATCATGAGATTAGTATTTGCTTAAGAAAAAATCTCCAACCAGTTCCAACCCGACCTGAATGATAGGAATTGCCCTATTAAGCTCCACCAGCAAAGGGTAAATAATTTCATACATGTCAATTATGTAGGGAATATATTTGGAACGCATTTAAAAAAATAATAAATACATTTTTAAATAAAAACTGTTAGATAAATAAAATAACTAAATATATTTCACAAGCAGGTTTGTTTCTGTTAGAAAAAAATATGCAAACTCAGTAATAACTACCTCTAAAAGATGTTGACGAAGACGAGATAACTGACTCTCCAAATGAATTTCATTGCTTTTTAATCTCTGAATCTGAAAAATAAAAAATTTTACTAATTATACCAAGTTGAGAAAACAAGAGCTCAAAAAAAAATGGATTAAAATTTTACAAAAAAAAAAATATATATGGGAAACAGAATAATAATAATTAGAGAAATAATGCTCAAAACTAAAGTCAATCAGAGACTCCTTAGCCATTTCAATTGAACATTGATAGATGATACATGATGAGAAAAACCTCTACACTGCATAGCTCTCTCCGGAAATACAGTAGAGTCTCGATTATTCGAGCCCCGGTTATCCGAGTCCACTTTAACCGAGCTATCAAATATTTCAAGGATTTTTTTTGTTCTAGTTTATTTTTAAAAAAAACCGCAGAAAAATAAATCTGAATTTTATCTTCCAAACACTCCAAAAAACAAAATCTAACAACTTGGTCTGATGAAATTATAGTTAATATCGTCAATAATGATAATGAATCTAGCGAAGATGATGAAGACAGTGATTATTAAAATCAACATATAAAAATCTCTCATACAGATGGACTAAAAGCTATCGAATGTACTAATGAATACATAGAACAAAAAGAGGCGACACCAACCTTCCTGTTATCCCTAAAAAAGGCAAAACATTACTACAGAAAAGCGCCAAAGTTACGTAGAACGAAAAACGATTAAGGACTTTAAGTAAAAATTATTTAATTCTCGTAAAGTATGCTTTTTAAATGTTTTTAAGTAAGCTTTTTAATTATAATATGAATTGTATGTGGTATACATTTTGTATTTCTTAAATATATTACATTTATACCTTCTCTTTTTCTTTCCGTTTTTATACTCTTCGCTTTAACCGAGTTTTTCAGTTATCCGAGTTTGTTGCGGTCCCCATTAACTCGGATAATCGGGACTCTACTGTATTTGCCTCGACTTTTGTTGATCCTTGAAGCCAAAAAAGAGATTCAACAGATTCTCAGTTCAATGAGGTGCACAATAGGCTCTGCTTGCTTTTTTATGTGATTGGAACTAGGGATGTAACGAATAGTGATTTGGTCGAATACTGAACATTCGTCCCAAAAAAAACGGCCGGATAACAACAATTTTTAATCATTAATAAATATTTTTTTTTATCTAGAAATAAGTTTAGTCATTATTGAAAATGACTGATCCAGCAGGAAAAAGAAACCTATTTTTTTCCCCTAAGAAATTGGATGAAATAAAAGAAACTAAAAATGACAGACTTAAATGTTTAGTATTAAGCATCATAAGAATGGTTTAGGAACAATTCATTAGCTATAATTGAATAGCAGTTTATGAATGTCAATTATAATTATAATATAGCTTAGAAACAAATATCTTAATCAAAATAGACTGCAATTATAAACTGCTGAAAAAAAAATTTCAATAATTGATCATTCTTACTTAGAAAGAGTTTCTTCCACTAAAAATTTAAAAATAAACCATTTCAACAAAGGTAATTTCTTCCAAGATTATTTCAACTGCAGTAGAAATTTGCTATTCTTGGTCAAAAGTCTTGAGACTTTTTCTCTATATTCACAGAGTAAGCATCAATTCACAAAATAAAATAAGTTAATATTCATTTGTGTGTCTTTATCACATTCTGGGTACTTACAGATACAAAATTTAATATGAACGTAAATGACATCTCAAAACCCAGTTTTCGAATTGCTGATTTAAAAATTTTAGTTATTTTTAGTTATAATTTATGAATTTTTGAAACATAGCTGCAATCTGCAAATTTATCTAGCTTGTTTTCAGACCTAGTATAAATGGCGTGTGGCTTCCATATATTACTTGTTATTGGGGTAAAAACTTTAAAAAATTTTAAATGAGTATCGATTTAGAAGAAAAAAAAAGAATTAGATCTATAAAAAGTAAAAAAAATAAATTTTTAAAAGTCAAAACAACAAATGATACTGAAGGTGAAAAAAATCAAAAAGCGACAAAGTAAGCTATGATAATAATTTGGTACCTCATTTTTAAGAGACTGAGTTTCTTGCTTGCTTTGATTCAAAGCCAAAAGAGATTCATCTCTTTCACGTCTAAATTTCTGTGCTTCACTAAACATTGTCTCACTTTCGGCAAGAATCTGGTTGACATCAGCAGAACTAGAAGAAGAGTCACTACTAATGTACTGCGATAAGGAGGATATCTTTTCAGTCATTGACTGAATCGAAAACTCTTTCTCCTTCACACTCATGTTCAATCGTTCATTCATGTCCTTCAGCAGCTCCAGCTCCGAAGTCCGATCCTGCAATCTCTGCTCCAGAGAGATCTTTTCTCTCTGAACCTGCTCGAGGGAAAGATTTTCGCTTTTTAGCCTCTCGGTCAAGTTGGAAATTTTTTCGTGAAGATCTCCGCTCATTTGAACCTGCTGCCCAGACTCCAATTTCAGCTTTTTGACTTGCTGGGAAAGATCATGGATCATACAATCTTTTTCTTGGATTAGATGATCTTTTTCAACATTCCCGCAAGTGAGTTTTTCGAGTTTGCAGTCCTTCTCGTGCAATTCTTCTTTCGTAATTTGAATGACATCATTTGCATTCACACTATTTAAAAGATCAGTGTGTTTCGTTTTGACATCCATCAACTCCTGTTCTAATTCACTGACACGCTGTTTCAGCCTGACAAGCTCATTCTGAGTATTGATCAAAGACTTTTGCTTTTCCTCATATTGTTGAACAACTGAAGTATGGCTTTGATCTAAGGCATCAAATTTTTCCTTCAGCTCAGTAAGTGCTCCATTCAATTTCTTTACTTCACCCTTATGCTCCCGCCATTCCTTATCTTTGGTGTTGTAACTTAGCATAATCTTATCCCGTTCTGCTTTATATTTGCTCAATTCTTTTGAGAGACTCATTTTCTCATCCGCCAGTGCCTGCAATTGTTCTGGTATTGCGGCGTCATTCTGAATTAAAGTAGTGAGAGACGAGTTCTTTTGTGTTAGAGAGTCTATCTCTAAATCTTTATCTTTAATTATAGTACTCAGTTTTTTAATGGCTTCTTTTGTAAGCTCTGGGTCAGAGTTCTCCCCGTTTGATTGCTTCAATTCAAATATATCCTGTTGAAGTTTCATCAAAGCTTGCTTTTCAGAAGAAACTATGTTGGTCAGTTTGTGAACTTCAGCTTTGAGACTACTACATTCTTGAGTCTTTTCATTCAGGACACACAAAAGCCTTCCTTTTTCGAGTTCCGAAGTTTTTAACCTGGTTTGCAAAAGTGTCATTTCGGTTTCAGAAATTGAAGACTTTTGAATCTCTTCAACTTTTAACGGTTGAATAGTAGTTTTTTGGATGGGCATTTTATCTAATTCAATGGAAACTTCACTACTATCTTTTCTCAGCTTTAAGCTATGAATAGTTTCTCCTAATGATTTAATTTCATCTTTCAATGAATCAATTTTAGTTTGCTGTTCAGAAACAGTAAAGGCACTAGCTTCCAACTCTCGATTCAAATTCTTTATAGTTAAAGCATTACCTTCTTGGAGAGCACAATAGTCATGCTTTAACTGTTCAATAGTTCTCTGAGCACTAAGAAGCTCATTGCTGGAATTTTCTAATGTATTGTCTGTCTGAGTCTTGATGTGACTAGTCTCTTTATTTAAACGTGACTGTAACTGATCAACTTTTTCTTGGATGAGATGTTTCTCCTCCTCCAAAAATAAATTTTTAGATTCAAGTTGAGCTATCAGCGATTCTTTTTTAAGTAAAGAATCTACTTCTTCACCAAAATTTGAATCTGTTTGTATATAGTTTGATACAGAGGGTTTGATTATCTCAGCTTGACTAGATTTAGAGTTCTCACAAATCTGTGCAGTAGTTTGGAGATTGAATGCAACAGTTTGAGCTTCGGAATCAACTCTCTCTAACTTTATTTGTTGGTTATTAGCCTCACAAGAGCTGTTCTTACTATTATTTGATTTTACAGAATTTTCTGCATTGGAGACTAAAGCAAGCTTTTCCTTTAAATTACTGTTTTCAAAAACTAGTGAATTGAAAATAGAGCAAATTTCGTCCACAACAGAGTACAAAGATTGACTGTGCAAAGCTTCTAAGAAACTGATGTAAGTATCTATCTTGTTTACGGAAGTATTTAAGCTTGCGTTGTTGAGTACGATCAAATCCTTTTGTTTCTCGAGCCAATCCACTTGCTTCTTGAACTTTTCATCTTCACTACAATCTGAAACAGACTGCAAAATGGATATCAAGTTTATGTTCTCCCTTAACAGTTCAGTGGAATGACTTTCACAAACATTGGCATTTAAGTTATCTGATATATCAGAGTTTCCATAGGAAAACTGGAAATCACCTTTGGCAGATTCAAGTTGTTTGTGTTTCTCAGCGTCAAGCTTTTTCTTGAGATCATTGTTTTCAGAAACAACTTGACTTTTTTGAAGTAAAACAGCTTCAAGTGCTTCCTATAAATGAAAAAAAAATGTCAATTAGCTTTATTACACAAACCTAATAGGAATGTTAATTTCTTACAGAAAATTCTTTGCTTAGATAAATTCATAAAACTAAGTATTAATTTCAAAATTCTAGGATTTTAATGATCCTAGGAGAAAAAATCTTGTCAAATGGTAATTATAATGGTAAAATAGATTGCAGAATGGAAAAATTAATTTACTTTTATTATACTTTACGATCAATTTAGTTGCAATTTATAGATATAATTAATAAATAAGATAAAATATATCTCACTAAATTTGTGGCATCAAAGTAATTTTTAAAATCTAAAATTTAACATTTTCATAAACTTTTTTTACAAATGCTATTTTGACATTTAGCATACAAAATCAAGAATTACAAGAAAAAGCAATCATACGTTTGTGTATTGTCAGCATGTATAAAAAAATTTTTGTAAAAGCTAAATTAAGAATTTTCATACATTTTAAATATTTATTTAAAATGTATCAGAAAAAAAAATTAATAATATATTTTTTGTTCTCACAATTTGAAACCTATTAAAATTCAAAATAAATGCTTGCCTAAAAAATGTTTTAAAAAGGTACTCAAATGGTTAAAAAAAAAATAAACAGTAAATATATGGCATAAGATTTTTCTTTCTATTTAACAAAAGAACTTCTATTTTAGAGCCCATTTAAAAAAGAAAAAAGATTTTGATATTTCCTATCAAGAAACAAACTATCTAGAAACAAACTAGACAAACACTAACATAAAAATAGTTTGATAATTCAAAGACAGCTTTTGAAAGTCAAAAATGGCCCTTATTATTTACCTCATACCCCTACTTATAACCCTTTAGCCTCAAAACCATAATACTATATGGTGCTCTAGACAGCAGATAAAAGGAGTTCGCTCATAAAACAGGCATTAGACAATGACATAAGAGAAAAAATAATTAATAATACATATAAATAATGCATCCGCTGCAAATCAAATTTTTAAAAATAAAAAATCTAAATTGCGTGAATAAAACTAAAACAATTTGCATGCAAATAATTATCAGACTAATTTGAAAGAAATAATTGCCTACTAAACCTGATGCTGCCTATCAAGCTCTTCAATATTACTTTCAAGGTATTCTTTTTCGGACAGAAGGTTATTTATTTTCTCATCTTTCTCTCTGCACAACTCAAGAAGCTCTTTATAGGTTGGAGCATTAGTGGCATTGGGTGACTCTGAAAGTGGAAAAAAAAAGGGATTTTGAAGCTATTTTCGTTTTTAAAACATCAATATACAGTGAACCCTCTCGGGAGCAACCACTCTCTGTTCCACAATAAAATGGTCATTGATGGAGGTAGGTCATTTTTATAGGTCAAATCCACTGCCTTCAAANTATGTTTCACCCGGCCATTAATTTTTTTAGTTTTTTTTCTTTCTAAATTGTTATCATTTTTGCAACTTTTCATTTTTATTCTATACCCAACCGTAACAGGGCACAATGTTTTGTTTCTGTTAATCAGTAATTAGACATGTGATTGCAAAAAGAAAAAATTATCTAAATTTTTTAGAAATTTTCAAATGAAACAATTTTTTCTTAATGGGTACTTTTTTAAAAATTATTTTCTTTCATTTTTACACATAGAAGATAAAGGAAAATGTATAAAACTTACAGACTGGAAAAAAAAGGATAGAATACTTTTCTTTTTCTTCCAATCAATCAGCTGCAAATTTAAGCCTTTCAACATATTAGCAACAGCAACCTTAGACAATATATTCTTATTAAAGAGGGATAGTTTTACTCTTTGCTGCTTAAAAAATAATAGTAGCTAAAAACTAGGTAACATTTAGAAGCAAATAGTTTTTTTCAATTCTAGTGGTTTGTAACATTTTTGGATTAAGTGTTGCCAGACAAGGAACTTTACACGGAGCGAGTTTAAATTATAAAAATGTTTTCAAAAATTTAATCCTAGAAGCATATTTTAGTATGAAATGTAGGTATAGATTAGTATGATATGCACAAGTGCTATAGCATTGCAACAATAATGAAAATAGAGTTCTAACAAATATTTCAGCACTAACTGAACTAATCACGTCAATCAGTAGGTTGAAAGATTAATGCATTATGACATTTCGAAACTATTCGTGCTTAGTAATTATAAAACAAGCGCAAAAATTTATAGTTTCAATGCACTATCGCACGAGTTATACAAGCATCAATATTGTGCAGAAATATAAGATAAACACAAAGATATCAGCTAAATAAATTAAATATATACGTAAATTTTCTAATTCAAAAGTTTTGTTATGTTTGACGCTGACATATTAGCGTACCTCTTTGGTCAGGTTCATCAATTAATATTTCCTTCGTAATATCTGTTATTTTTTCGGTAAAAGAGCTCAATTGTTCCCCAAACCAAGACATTATTTACACAAGATTAATATGCTAAGGCCATATTTATTTATATTTTCACACGTGACACACCTGCAAACACAGACGACACACAAAAAAAAAACAATGAACAATGTTGCCAACAGTTTAAAATTTATAATGATCATTCCTTAGTTCTTGTTTCGATTTCATTTTATTAGTTCAGACTGGTACTGAGGCAACGTTTTTCGCTCCCCAGCAGGCGAATTCGTATTCGCGAACGCAACGACCTATAGAAGGCGTTGTTTTTTAAGACGAATAGCTGTAAGAAGAACAACACGTTCAGTTGCACTAGGAATTTCTTCAGTGAAGTAGTATGGTTACGTCCCTTTTTTTATTGTAGCTTATTAAATTAGAAGAAAAAATTCATATTCCTTCTTATGCAAATGACAAAATAAAATATAGATGTCGAAATAAAATAAAATCTATTTTTTTAAAGAAGGAAATATGTGAAACACATCGGAAAAATATTTGTAAATAAAAAAAAACAAATAATATTATGTATCTGTATTCTTATAAGAGAGAAATCTTAATTCTCGAGAAATTACTCTACCAAATTTAATGATCTAATATAAATAGTCTATTTAAACTTTACGACTCATAATTTTCTGAATCAAGTAACTTCAAACATTAAGGTATGTAAAGTTTACCGAAACATATAATCTTATGTAATTTGATTGATTAAGTGTAAGGTTTAGGGACCAAATAAGAACAAATGAAAATTTTCATTTTGCGTGGATTTTCTTTCTTTTAGGCTGTTGCTTGGCTGACCGCTTTTTTAATAAATAGAGGCATTTGATTGGTCGATTACATCATCGTTTTCATCGTTATCGCTTAATCGTTTTGTCAGGTTTACTAGAATGGCGCTTTTAGCATTTTTGCTTGGCAGAATTTTAATAACGCGCATGCTCAGTTTGATAATTTATTTAAACCAATCGAAGTACTTCGTAGACAATGAATATAGATGCTTGTATCCTCTCCTTTGCTTGCGTATACTCAAACAAAGACATAAAGATGGAAAGATCAATCACTGTACCAAACAGATGTCAGGGTGAACGAAACATTGGACANATTGTGAAGTTGAATCAACTCTTTCGAAGAGATCTGAAAGAGTTGAACAGCAGTTGATCCAACTCGGATAAGTATAGCACACCTATGTTTTCGGACGGAGTTGTCTTCGGAGTTGAAGTTGAGGTTGAGTTGAAGGTTGAGTTGGACAAATTTCCTTAAGTGTGATATGGCCTTTAAAGTTCAAAATCAAACGTAGAAAACCATTCTGATGGTTTTCTGACTCATCTATCATGAAATTAGAAGAAAATAAAATATTTACAAAGTAAATTTTTTATTATAAAATAATAACACTTACGCGTCTAAGTCCGGAGAATCCTTAAATATAATGTTCTTTTAATTTAAAAAAATTTTATTCTCAAATAATATATACGTAGATTATTATTTCATGACTCTGAGATAACATAGCTTATAAAATTTTACAATTGTAAGGTTTCCATATGAAATTCAATTATCGATTGAATATGTAACTTTAAAAAAAATATAGCTGAATTCTAGTTGAAATTAGTATTTGGAATATCAATTATATACCGTATACGCATTCACATTATACTTATACAGTATATTAATTGATAAATATTTCTACAACTAGAAAAGTCAGATTAAAAGCGAAATAAGATTGAAAAACAAAGGACAAAGCTAGAATAATTACTTATTTATTTATTCATTCATTACTTAAAATTTTTTGAGGCATAAAACACCTATTTATAACTTAATGCCAATTGCGTTCAATAAATGAGCATACTTAAGTTTAGCATATAAATTGTAATGACATAGTAAAATTGTAAATAGTAAATTGTAATTGTTCTTTTGTAAGGAAACATATTTAAAAAAAACAAACGCTACTCAGCTTTTATTCTTTAGTAAAATATTTCAAGTTCAAAATAGTTATCGGCATTTACCTATTGAATGAGTTGTTTCTATCTATAGAGGTTCAAAAATAAGAATTGCCAATCTGAAAGGAAGTACGCAGCTCGAAAATTCCTATTTACACAAAGCATATTTGAAAGCCTTGGATAGAGGACAAATTAGCTGCGTTATCTGTCCTGAAAAAAAAATCCCCATTACAATTACTTTTAAAATAGACACGTATTTATTAAAGAACTCTGACTTTCGACCACTCTCTGCACTCTAGATTGCGGTTGCCGTTTTCCTTACTTTGATGAACAAGAATGCAAATCCGTTAAAAAAGGGTGTTTTCGATTAGGCGAAATAAGTTTTTGTGTCTGATTTTGCAATTTAATTAGTAGTTAATATCATATATTATTATTAATTATTATTAATTATTATTTTTTTTATAACCGTCGTTGCAGCCCTAATTTTCGGTTTACGACTATTAATGTTCAACTCCGACTATTAATGTTCAAGCCTTGTAATTCTGAACCCAACCCAGAAGGCAAGGGAACACCTGGATCGAATATTGGGAGAAATTTGCCTACATGGAGGACTTTTTTGATGGAACTAACCCAAATTTGCGTTACATAGAGATGAAAACCACGAAAAGCTTCCGCGGTTATTCTGACGGTAAGGAGATTCTAACCTATGATCCACCCAGCACTGATGATATTTTATGTCAGCACTGTGGTCTTTGATAGCAGGGTGCAGATTTCGTATCGATCAGTCATCTCTGGGATTCGAACCCGGTTCACCTCATTGGAAAGCAAACGCACGCAAAACTATTCAGATTTGCACTTTGAACTTGAAAATCAGAAAAGGATAAGTGAAAATAAAGTAGAAAAATATATAGCAGAAAGATTGCAGCGGTTTATGTCATAAATAGTTGAGCAATTTTTTTAATTTTTTTACCGTACCGTACAATTTTTAATAATAAGGTACAATTTTTATAAATTTACAAAACATGGTAAAAATTGAAAGTGTCTTATAAAAAAATGAGCGTTTCGATCAAGATATACGAGCGTATGAGGTCCGAATAGTCTTTTATTAATATTTATTTGTCACTTTTTTTTTAAATTCTTTCTTTACTGATTAATCTAAATTCGATATACATATTTCAACGCTTTGTAAAGCATTATTAGTTTGGTTTAATATTAATTACTTTAATCAACAAATATCTTTCAGTTTAGTCGCTTATGCTTTATTTATACGAATACATAATATAATAAGAATTTGATATTTTTACCTAATTTTAAAAAAATATAATAAAAGATTTATAATATAGAAATTGTTTTATCTTAAAAGAGGTAATATTTTAAAATTTTATACAGGATTTGATATGATTGGAATTATTTTTAATTGATATTTTTTACTTTAAGAATTTGAAATGGCTCATTTCTATAGGTGCTACCAAACCAAAGTTCAGAACCTGCGCCAAAGTTCACGATAGTCGTTCTCTGGTTTAGACATTCGCCTCAGAGGGTACAACCAACTGAACCATATTTGGATAATAAAATATCTGTTAACTTTTACTTAATGACAATCCTCCTGAGTACCACTTTCATATTCACAAAGTTAAAAATTGGTAGCAAATTTGTTATACTATTTATCTAAGACAGATATAGCAAATTTATTTGTGGGGGGGGGGAGAGCCAGGTATCAGGCCTCTCCTCTAGCGGAAATTCTATCCGGCAGGTGGAGTAGAGGTCATAATAATATTTATATTTATAACCGTCGTTAAATAGTCGACCCAATTTTTTGGGTTTAATACTATTAATAACTAGCTTAACCCCGCTTCGTCCCCCGAAAAGAGGCATCCGGGGACACACCGATAACTCGCGTAAAAGTTCAATCACATAAGAAAACATATTCAAAAAGTGTCAAATTAGAGTTTTAACAAATAGGGAGAACATATTAAATATGAAATCTAGAAAATAGCGTTACTTAGAAATGAACTCAATACAAACAAACATTACAATGAATATAAACAATATCAATCAGAAGAGTATGAGATTTTACTACTACGACTATTGATGTTCAACTCCGTAGTCTTGCAATTTTGAACCCAATCCAGAAGACAAGGGATCTCCTGGATCAAGTATTGGAAGAAATTTGCCTTCGTGGAAGACTTTTCAATGGAACTAACCCGCATTTGCGCTACACGGAGAGGAAAGCAGCGAAAACCTCCCATGGTTAGCCTAACGGCAAGGGGATTTTAACCCATAATCCGTCTACCAATGAGGATATTTTACGTCAGCACTGTGGTCGGTGCGAGCCGGGTGCGGAATTCGTATCAACCAGCCGTCGCTGGGATACGAGCCCAGGTCACCCCATTGAAAGACGAACGCTCTATCCCCTGAGCCATCACGGCTCAGGTCTCAGATATGATCCATCAGTATGTCATAGGGGGATATGCATTGCAATGAATAGATTTGCTGACTCCTGAATTTTAACTAATGCTCATCGTCACACATTTGACGAATGAGGTCTCAAATTATAGTTGTCTATAGCAACGCCTAAAGATTATACCGACACGTGTACCACGAGTACCACTACCTGAAATTAAAAGAAAATATTCCAGCCATTTCCTTTTTTTTTTAATGATAAAAAATACACTGTGAAAAACATATATATATATAGACTAATAAAGGAATTTTTAAGCAAAAAGTAAATTTTTTTTTATGTCAGTGAATAGAGAAAATTTAAAAAATAAGATAATGACTAAAACAAAGGTACAAACTTAGGTTTTAGTGTAAGTATTTTTTTCTTTTTAATTCTAGATGGTTATTTTAAGTATTAAATGAAAATAATTAACTTGAAACATTTTATTCTGAAAAAATTGATAAAAAGTAAGTGCTGAAGGGCCACCTTCATTCAGAAGAGGAATTTTACTCCCTGATTTTTTATTTTTTATTTTCTCTGTTGATAAATCTAATGATGCAAAGTCACTTGAAAGGGCAACAAATAATAATAAAATGGAAATTAATTTAAACTCTTTAATCGTGTCAGTATTTGTCTCTCGGATTTTTTGCGTAATTAGGTTGCAAAATGTAGATCAAGAAATTTCGCATAATACCGATTACGTAACATTTTTTTTCACCCTGAAAAGGAGTACTCAGCTAGTAAACTCACTAACTATTGGAATAG